GCTTCTTCTTCAACTTCCACCTCCTGTTCGGACTCGGGGTCTAAAATATATGGTTTAATACCTGACATTTTTAGCCTTTAGCATAAGGTGACCAGACGTCCCGGATTTCCGGGGACAGTCCCCGTATTGGATGACCTGTCCCCGGCAAAAGCTGTCCCTGAAAATGTCCCCGATTTAAGTTTTTCATGAATAAGAGCAAAAATGTTGCGTGTGGGCTCTAACAACGGTTATTACAGTAGCCGAATCGGTAGGAAGCACAAGTAAGCAGTCCTGAACAACAGTTTGGGGTTATTACAAGGGGTATGCGCTGCTACTAAATAGTACCAAGATGTTGTCTGTGATCACACAGCCCCTGCAGCCCATGCACCCTCCCCGCAGCCGCCGCACCGAATATCCCCGGATATCCTTACAGACATCTGGGCACCTTACTTTAGCACACATTAGCAAAATGGATAAACCGAAATCTGAGCCTCCACTGCTGAGCCAATCAGAGCACAGCAGGCTTCACAGCAGCGATCCAATCAGTGCAAAGCTCATTACCAGAAATGTTAATGAGCCAAAATCAGTTGGTTTTCCTGTAAGGTTTTTTAGGCATACTAAAACAAACCATCAAATAACTTTTCAGCTAAAATTATGTTGCAAACATGATCAGAGGACATCAAGGATTATGAAAAAATGATAAAAATGGGTATGAAATTTTGATGGCAGGTCCCATTTAAGATGTCTTGCATCTTTGTGTTTGATACTTCCTCCCCAGCAGACTGCAGTGTACAACAGAACACTTGCCACCAATGACTGATAAAACATCTGCAGCATGCTACTACAGATGTCCATTGATCGGAGTCTTCTCAGGCAAAAGAGACGGCTCTGCCCCTCTCTGTAGATGTAGTCTATATTCTTGGACCAGTCCAACTGATTATCCAGATGTACACCTAGGTATTTATATGATGTCACCACTTCGATGTCCACTCCACAGGTGTTCACTGGCTGAAGAGGGGGTTTGGATCTACGGAAGTCTATGACCATCTCCTTTGTCTTTGAGGTTTTGAAGAGGAGGCAGTTTTTTTGACTCCAGTCACTGAAGGCTCTTATTAGATCTCTGTATTCAGCTTCTTGTCCATTTCTGATACATGCCACAATAGCGGTGTCATCTGAGTATTTCTGGATGTGGCAGGACTCAGTGCTGTATTTGAAGTCTGACGTGTACAGTGTCAACAGGAAGGGCGCTGGAACTGTCCTTTGTGGAGCCCCTGTACTGTTCATTAATGTCCCAGAAACACAGTTTCCCAGCCTGGTGGCATGGTGAAGCATGTAGAGGACAGCATCATCCACTCCAATGTGCTCTTTGTATGCAAACTGCAGGGAGTCCAGTTTGTCTCTGACCTCAGACCTCAGAAGGCATAGAATCAGCCGCTCCAGGGTTTTCATGATTTGGGAAGTGAGGGCCACTGGTCTGTAGTCATTGAGTTCAGCAGGACATTTTGTTTTTGGTACTGGCACAATGCAGGATGTTTTCCACAGAGTAGGTACCCGCCCCAGCCGTAGACTCAGGTTGAGGATCCTGTAGAGAGGTTGACAAAGTTCTGCAGCACAGTCTCTAAGCAGCCTTGGACACACACCATCTGGACCAGCTGCCTTCCCAGGACAAAGTCTTCCAAGCTCCATCCTGACTCCTGTCTTGGTGACAGACAAGGACTGGTGTTCTAGGAGGGAGGCAGTTGAAGTGGTTGAGACATTTGAATAAGATGTAGGAGGAAGTGGAGAAGTTGTAGTGGAGATTTGTTGCGGAGAGGAAGGTGGAGTAGCAGTGGAAGTGGGTGTGACAGCAGTGTCAAATCTGTTGAAGAACAGGTTGAGTTCATCAGCTTTTTCCACATCACCCACCACTGGCTGTCTTTTCTTTTTTTGCTGTGTCCAGAGATGGTACTGATTCCTTTCCACACTTCATGGATGTTGCTGTGTTGTAGATTCTTCTCTATCTTCTTTTTGTACTCCAGCTTTGCCATCTTCAGTCTCTTCTTCAACTGTTGTTGCACTTGTTTGAGTTATTCTTTGTCACCATCTTTAAAAGCTTTCTTTTCCTGGTTAAGGATTGCTTTTAGGGCAGCACAGTGGTTTAGCGGTCAGCACCGTCGCCTCACAGCAAGAAGGTCCTGGGTTTGAATTCGAGTCAGGGTGTTTCTGTGTGGAGTTTGCATGTTCTCCCTGTGTCTGCGTGGGTTTACTCCGGTTTCCTCCCACATCCCAAAAACATGCAGAAGTGGGGTTAGGTTAATTGGCCACTTTTAAATTGCCTGTGGGTGTGAATGGTTGTTCATCTCTGTATGTCACCCCTGCAATGAACTGGTGACTTGTCCAGGGAGTCTCTTGCCTTTGCCCGAAGATGCTGGGATAGGCTCCGGCCCCCCGTGACCCTGGGAATGGGAATAAGCGGTAGAAAATGAATGGATGGATCTGTGAGTGGGGATGTTAAAATGAATATTATTTTCATGTAGACTACTTGAGATTAAGCAGTAGTCCATTTGTAAACTACTAGTTGGTAGTAGGTGCCAATTTTGTTCGCCCATGTATAGGAATTATTATTTGGATTCATTTTTCTCCAGATATCTACTACTTGGAATTTCTGCATAAATAACATGACATTGGAGAGAGAATATGTTCTGTTTTTTGGAGGCCATCTATCTACAGAGTCATCAACCGTATCACTAAAATCACCACCAACAATAAACGGCAGGTTTGGATATTTAGATAACCAAAATAGATCATGTGATTCCAGAGTGTCAAATAAGTAGTCATTATCAGTTTTGGTATTATAACCATATACATTGGCCAAAAGGATTATCAAACTTATTAATTAGTATATGAAATCTACCATTTGGATCACTCTCTGATTGTTATATATAGTTCCCTCAAGTTTGTTTTTCAGGGTGGTTACTCCTGCTGATCATTCTGAGCCATGCGAAAACCATATGCCATTTCTCCGCGTTTTTTTCCAGAATTTAATATCATCTACGACTGAATGTGAGTCTTGTAAGAAACAGAAATCAGACCTTTGTTGTTTGATAACTAGGGCCTTTATTTCTCAGTCTCCTGCAGTTACCAAATATCAAAAGCATAAATACATGGCAATAATTCATGAACCCCCTCATCTTGAAGTTAAAAACAAGGCATTTATACACCTCTCTTAGGATGAGTGCAAAACATAGACACCAGGCTTTTACAATTTTTGTTTCCATATATAAAGACAAATAATTCTTGCTTTGGAGGCCAAGCCACCTGAACTGTGAAAGTTTAATTGAGAAGCTTTAAAGGAGAAACTTTGTCAATTAATTGCCCAGGAAGGTGATAATTTACTTCAGATATTAAATAACATAAATTTATTTCAAATATTTCCTCAAATGGGAGAATATTGGTGCTGCAGCTCAATAAAATTAAGTAAATTAGAGGGTAATTAGGAAAGAACTGAAAGATGAAATTCTTGAATAACTAAAATAAATAATGATGAAAAGAAAATAAGAGTAATAAATAAATAGAAATAAACTACTGAAAAGTTCAGGGATAGAAAAAATTGCTAGAGTAAATTAGGTAGATTCTAGCTGTTCAAAAAACAAAGACAAAAAAAGCAAGAAAATATAGAAAAAAATATATATTTACGAGAAAAAAAAAGGATGGGGGAAAAAGAAAATATGGGGGAAGGGGCCTTCTTGTGGCAGTTGGCCAAGCTATGTCCAGTCTACGGACTAAGCAGCATTTTTCATATCATTCACAGTGATCCTTTTACCATCAATGAGGGCATGGGAGCCTCTGAATCCGGCTTTCCTGCCAGCTTTCCTCGCTTGCTCGACCAGCAGCTACAGCTTGTTCCTTGCATCTTACTTGTCTTGAGTGGTTACATGTCTTAAGCAGTTAGAAGTTCTCGCATCTCTTCAGATCTTGTCCTGGTGAGTATGAAAAAGGAACCGGACAATGATGCGGCGGCTGGAGTGGCTGTCTGCAGAGCAGGGTCCAAGCCTGTGAGTAATGTCCACAGAGAAGTGCAGCTCTTGAGCGATATCAGGAGAGACAAAGGAAAAAGTTTGGTCGAGTTTCAGAGGGCAAACCGGTTGCTCATCAGGGTCAGGAAACTCCATAAAAGAAACTTTAGTCTTCTTATCACTGTATATACTCACGGTTCAGGCAACTTTTCATCTGTAGGTAGTTACTGTTCAAAGCATGGTTTAGTTCTGGCACATGTCGTAGAGCTTATAGGTGTAGTCACCTCAGTGAGATGCCATCAGCCCTGTGACCAGAGAAACACACGTCAACACTTTGGGGGGGTCTGCACACTTGGGCCGTGGCTCAGTTTAGAGACCGAATCTCCATCTCTTCCCTAAACCCCGCGCCCTGAGCCCTCACTGATTTAACTGACTGCACCCCGAAAGTGATTGAGTGAAAGAGGCTTCAAGGGCATGAATTACTATAAAAAGGAATGGGACAGGCCTTTGTTGACAGCAGTGCATCATGCTACCCAAAACTGCAGCTTTTTATTTTATGTTTTTTTTGCTTTGCTCAAGGCCAAGGGGCCAGAGAGATCCCCTGCCTTATGTTGACATGACCCAGGCTCTTGCTGGAGGAGAGTGAAATGACAATTTATCAGTTTACTTGGTTTTCTGTTGTTTTTTTTTTTAATGAGAAAATGTATGAATTTGATGTAAAACATAGGCTACACTCACACGTGTTGACAGTGTGCGTCATTACATTGTGTGTATGTGGCCAAAACTTTTTTTTAAAATAGAATAGAATAGAATAGAATAGAATAGAATATTCCTTTATTGATCCCCCATGGGGGGAATTTTTTTGTCACAGCAGCATCACAGACAAAGAGTGCAAAAATGCAGTTATAAAAATAAAGATCCTAATATTAAGAACTTAAATAAATGTAATAATTAAGAAAAAATTTAGAAAAAGGAAAAAGGGAGAAGAAAAATAAAACTATCTACAATATACACAATTTAAATGCCAGAAAAAAGTGGTGGTGTAAATCCAGTTATTATTACAGTTCGTTGTGAAGTCTTATTGCAGAGGGGAGGAATGACCTGCGGTAGCGCTCCGTCCTGCAAGGTGGAAGTCTAAGTCTGCTGCTGAAGGAGCTGCTTAAAGCCCCCACAGTCTGATTCAGTGGGTGAGAGGGATTGTCCATGATGGATACAAGCTTTGTTAACATCCTCCTCTCACCCACCTCCTCCAGGGAGTCCAAAGAACAGTCCAGGACAGAGCTGGCCCTCCTGACCAGTTTGTTCAGTCTCTTCCTGTCCCTCTCGGTGCTCCCTGCCCCCCAGCAGACCACCACATAGAAAAGTGCAGATGCTTCCACAGAGTCATAGAAAGTCCTGAGCAGAGTCCTGCACACTCCAAAAGACCTCAGTCTCCTCAGCAGGTGGAGATGACTTTGGCCCTTCTTGTACAAAGCGTCTGTGTTTGTTGACCAGTCCAGTTTGTTGTTGAGGTGGAGACCCAGGAATCTGTTAGACTCCACCATCTCAATGTCCAGACCCTGGATGTTCACTGGAACAGTCTGAGGTGTCCCCCTCCTGCGGAAATCCACAACCATCTCCTTTGTCTTACTGGCGTTGAGCTGGAGGTGGTTTGTGCCACACCAGTTGACAAAGTCAGTGATGACAGTCCTGTATTCCCGCTCATCCCCTGACGATACACATCCGACGATGGCTGTGTCATCAGAGAACTTCTGGAGGTGACAGCTCCCAGAGTTGTAGCTGAAGTCTGAGTAGAGCACTGTCCCCTGTGGAGCCCCCGTGCTGCAGACCACCAAGTCCGATACACAGTTCTGAAGCCTCACAAACTGTGGTCTGTCGGTGAGGTAGTCCACGGTCCATGCGGCTAGGTGACAGTCCACTCCCGCCCGCTCGAGCTTCCCCCTGAGCATTGAAGGCTGGATGGTGTTGAAAGCACTGGAGAAGTCAAAAAACATGACCCTCACAGTGCTGCCGGTATTCTCCAAGTGGGCCATGGACCTCTGCAGCAGGTAGATGACTGCGTCGTCCACCCCAATGTTCGGCTGGTCTGCAAACTGCAGAGGATCCAGATGAGAGCTCACCAGGGGGCGGAGGTTCCTCAGCACGATCCTCTCCAGAGTCTTCATCAGGTGAGAAGTGAGGGCCACAGGTCTGAAGTGGTTGGGCTCCCTGGGGTGTGCTGTCTTGGGGACAGGAATCACGCAGGAAGTCTTCCACAGTGTTGGGACCCTCTCCAGACTCAGGCTCAAGCTGAAGATGCGCAGTAGCACCTCACAGAGCTGGTCTGCACAGTCCTTCAGGAGTCTGGAGCTGATGCCGTCAGGGCCCGTGGCTTTCCTTGGCTTCATCTTCCTCAGCTCACTTCTCACCTGGTCAGCTGTTATGGAGAGGCTGGGGGTGGTGCTGGAGGGGGTGGTGGTGGATGAGTGGAGGGGGGTTGATGATGCTGGTGCCATGGGACTGAGGTGGTGTGAAGAAGAAGCAGCAGACAGGTCGTTGGTTTGATGAGTCGGGGGAGGAGTGGGAGCAGAGTTAAATCTATTGAAGAACAGATTCAGCTCGTTGGCCCACTCCCTGTCTCCTGCTTCAGGTCCCCTCTCATAGCCCCTGCTATGACCTGAGATGGATTTCAGGCCTCTCCAGACCTCCCTTGCGTTGTTCTGTTGCAAAAAGTTTTCCATCTTGGTCTTGTAGCTGGCCTTTCCCTCTCTGATCTTCTTCTTCAGCTCCTTCTGCACCCTCCTCAGCTCCTCCTTGTCCCCAGATTTAAAGACCCTCCTCTTCTACTTCAGGAGGTTTATATAGTCTGTGATACAGTCTGTCATGGTGTCGATGTCATCACCATGTGGGCCGCACAGTACATCCCAGTCTGTGGTCTCAAAACAGTCCTGCAGCGCCTCAGTGGCCTCCTCAGACCACCTCTTAACATACCTGATGGTGGGGGGTTGTTTCTTCACCATAGGTATGTAAATGGGCTGCAGTCTCACCAGGTTGTGATCTGAGCGGCCCAGCGGGGGGAGGGGGGAGGAGGTGTATGCATCCTTGGTGTTTGCATACAGTAAGTCCAAAGTTTTATTGTCTCTTGTTGGGCAGTTTACATACTGGCTGAAGGTAGGGAGAGTGGAGGAGAGCGATGCATGATTAAAGTCTCCAGAGATGATGATCAGAGACTGAGGGTGTGATGTTTGTAGCTTGGACACTTCACTATGGAGGAGTTCACAGGCTGCAGCAGCATCAGCCGAGGGGGGGATGTAAACAGTTAACGCGATGACGTGCGAAAACTTCCTCGGCAGGTAATATGGCCGCAAACTCACAGCCAGCAGCTCAATGTCCTTAGAGCAGAGCTGCTCTTTAACACTGACGTGCCCAGAATTACACCATCTCTCATTCACATACACCGGTATCCCGACTCCTTTCTTCTTACCACTCTCCCTCACGCTCCGGTCCGCTCTGACGAGGTGAAATCTGTCCAAAGTTACGAGCGGGAGTGAGTTCGTTCAGCCATGACTCCGTGAACATCATGAGGCTGCACTCGCGATATTCTCACTGCAGCCTAGTCAGCGCTGTGAGCTCTTCCATCTTGTTGGGGAGAGACCTCATGTTTCCCATGATGATGGACGGGACAGTTGGTTTATAACGTCTCCGCTTTGCCCGATGCTGAACTCCAGCCCTGCATCCTCTTCTTCTCCTGCGGAGCTTCGCGGGGATGTCCGGTCTCTCCCACGAAGGTAGCCGGGCCTGGCGCAGCGCCAACAGCTGTTCACGGCTGTAAACAATGGGGCCGCTGAATGGGTCGCCGGTCGCGGACTTAAAAACTCTGAAAAGTAAAAGAAAACAAAGTGCAAGAGTCATGAAATGCACATCCATGGTTGGAATATGCAAGACACAACACTGCTGAAAAAAAGAAAGACAAATAAGGTGCCAAAAAACAGCAATAAGAAGGCAAAAACGTAAAGTCTGTGAGGAGCTGATGTGACTTGCTGCCACTCTCAGGGCGCTCGAGTCACAGTCCTTTTTTTAATGTTTTTTCTCTATATTTATAGTCTTACCTGCACACCCCATATTCAAGACTTAACATCCATTTGCTAGTTCTCCAAATATATATGGACGTTGAACGTGACATGAAAACGGACTTCAGAGTGTCAAAGCAGGCTTTCAACGGTCTTTTAAGCATTTTGGATGAAAGAAGGGATCATTGCTGGGGACATCATTTAGAAGTGCTGATTTTTGTTTACTGGCTGGCCTATGGGGTGTCTTATCATGTAACAACCCAGGCATTTGATGTTCTGAAGTCAACGGTGTTCACAGTTATCCACAGAATAGCAAAAGAAATCCAAAGATGCAAATCCAAGGTGATTTTTTTTCCCATTTCAAGGAGCATTGGAGGATATTGGTTGAGGATTTGGGGAGCTGGCACAGCACAGACCTTCAATAAGACTTTGGGGGCAATAGATGGATGCCACATTAGAATAAAACCACCCAAGCAATATCAACAGGATTCTTTTAATTTCAAACAGTTTCATTCAATCCAAATGCAAGCCATATGTGACTCCTTCGGGAGATTTGTGGGATATGGTGGCTCCGTGCATGATGCGTGTATTGAGAAACAGCCCTGTTGATGTTATTTCCCTGTATCCCCCCCACCTGTTTTTTTTTCTTTTGGGAGATGGAGGCTACCCTTGTCTTGAGCATCCTAATACCACTATAACACCTTTTTGACAACCACTGCAAGGAAGGATGCAGCAGCGATTCAACATCAAACATGCAAAGACCTGGGGCCTCATGTATCAACACTTGCGTGGGACTCATACCAGAAACGAGCGCACGCAAGGTCCGTCACGCTGAAAAAAATCTGTATGTATCAATGTGTGCGGGCGCCGAAATCCACGTGTGTTTCCTTGATAAATCCCAGTCAGCGTGGAATTGAGCGCAGATGTCGGAGTGAGCGGGCCAGCCCCCGTTATGCCCTCCTATAAATATGCAGATTTATTTAAATAGGGTCTCCCTGTCCTCGCACGCAGAGAAAATGACAAGAAAAACTAAATTTACGGCGTGCGAGGTGGAGGTGCTGGTGGCGGAGGTGGAGGAGCGACAGCGTGTTTTGTTTGGCAGCCTGTCCAGTGGCGTCAGTGCAAAACGAAAACGCTTGGAGTGGGAGAAAGTTTGTCAGAGGGTGAACGCGGTGGGTTCCGAGACACGCACCCCCGCGGAGATTAAAAAAAAAGTGGTCGGACCTCAAGGTGGAGGTCAAGCGGCGTACAGCTGCCCTCCGGAGGAGTACCGGCCAGACAGGAGGGGGTCCGGGGGAGGAGACCCTCACGCCGTTTGAGCAGCGGGTGGTGGCGATTATTATTATAGGGTAAGTGGCGTGTCACACAAATGTCCACATGCTTTGCCATCCCACTGAGCAAAAGACGTATATTAGACTTCTAGTCTAAGTTTATACTTCATTTCAACGTCGGGATTCAGTCTATTTTTAGACGTGATTTATACTTCGCCCTTAACTTCATTTTTGATAACTTTTTATGCAATAAACAACTGTAATGTGCATAACTGACCTCTAAATACTGGATTACATTACCTATGATACCGCGGAGAGAGATGTAAACGCAACAGATACACAGAAGCAGGAATTGAAATGAACCAATATTTTTATTGTGTCACAGAAATCAATGTGTCTGCCGTGTCGCCGGCTTGCAGAACCCCGGCCCGCGGCAGCCCGTCCGCCGGCTCAGAGTCGTCGGCCAGGACCAGCGGCATTCGGGCCACCCCGGCCCCAGCACCAGCACCAGCACCAGCATCAGCACCAGCGTGCCGACAAGCGGTGGAGCGTCCACCAGCCGCGGCGCTTCCGCTGGACCACCCGGACGCACACTGGAAGGGTCCTCACGGAGGCGGTCCTGCAATCGCAGGAAGAAATCATCAGGGGGATCGCGGGGATCAATGAGCGGCTGGACCGGCTTGTAAATGTCCTCGAGCGTCTGGTGGCGAAAATAAATTAATTTGGCTCATTGAACTGTGTATTCACTTCTTACCCATTCACACTGTGGCGATGAGATTCTCCCGCGCGAGGACGGCAGCCCGGCAGGGATCAGCTCGCATCCCTCCGTCTGCTGCTGGTTCGTCATGTGGGGCGACGTGCTGCTTGGCCACGGGGATGTGGTGCACGCTTGTCACATAGTGAGTCACCAAACACCGCCACACAGCGTCGCCAAAGTGCCGTCAACGCAAGTATCAGCTCAACGCCAACTTCTACACCACCTCCTTAGTTTGCGTTGATTAGCGCTGGAACCGACGCTCGTTTCGCGATGATAAATCTGGACGTGTGCGCCGATTTTGGCGTACACAAGGTTTTCTGGCGCCGCCAGCGTTGATACATAAGGCCCCTGGTCTGTTGCTGTCACTTCTCTTTCCTTCCTTAAGTTGATCTGAAGTTGTAAATAATGTTTTCAGTAGGTAAATAAACAGTATCAGGTTTAGCAGAAGATACTTAACTTCCCCATTTTCCTAAGCTCCTAAGGAATTCAAGACATTCTAATCTTCATTGACATTGAGACGAACGCCCACTATAAGGACGCCCCCCTTTGAAGTCAGACTTTCCTAACTAAAACCCATATAGGTTTTTTTGCAATGGGAAAGATGTATCCAACTACTTCTTTGTGCTATTTTTATTGCTGTGGGTGTCATTAGCAGTACCTTTTTTTTTTTTTTACTCCTTCCACTTACTTCAACGTATTCAAAAACCATTCAAACTTCAGGAGATTCCAGCTTATATTCAAAATTTTCCCAACATTCATATTTTCCGAGATATTCCAGGTTTTCCAACCATTTTTTTTTAATTAGAAATGCATTACGGAATTTTCAAATTGGCCCTTTTCTCACATTTTCTTTACACAACTTTAAAAGCCTTCAACTCCTCTATACTTCCAGATTATGATCATTTTAATTTTCCAGTTTTAAATCATTACATTCTTCACTCAGTATTCAATTTTTTCAAACTAATTCCAACTCATTTAAACCTTTCTGAATCTTCAAATCTCATATCTTTCACATAATTTTTTAACTTAAACCATTTACAATAGCAGCTTAGCGATAGCAATTTCAGCTGGAGCAATCCATCTCGCAGTTTCTTCAGGAATTGCATTTTCTAGTTATTATTATTTATTTATTTATTTATTTATTTATTTATTTCATTTACAAAATGAGTTCCATTGTCACTGTAGATTTGTTTTGGAATGCCAAATCAAGGAATTATTTCTCTACACAGGATTTTTGCTACTGTTAATGCATCTGGGTGGGTGACAGGAAATAATTCTATCCATTTAGTGAAAGGATCTATTCACACTGAACAGTATTTCTTTCTCTCACACTGATTTAATTCTATGGAGTCCATGTGTATGGCTTCAAATAATGCATTGGTTGGTGGACATTGGCCTCTTTTTGGTTTTCTACTGTCTTGAGCATTATGTCTAGCACAAACTAAACAAATCAAACAAAATTATTATTATTATTATTTTTTTTGAATAATTTACGAATCAATAGGGGGTCAAGTGTTGATTAACTACCACACTCATCCCTCCTGTCGAGACATGGCAAGGCCCATGACTCGCTATTACTACCTCTAAAGCTCTGTTTGCTGATCTGACAAAAATCTTTTGTTTGGAAAACCTAATCTGTGGTAGTTTATGTCTAAGAACTGTTTTTTGTTTGTTTTTTTGTTTTTTTTGCACTGGAGTCACACAAAAAGGTTACAGGTAAACCATGAATCATTAACTATATCTGTGGTTTTGTGTCTGCATAATGTATTCCTTCTCCAACAGACTGTTGCAGCTCCACTGTCAAAGGGACAGACACAGGAAAACTTTCCTGCCACAAGCTATTGCACTGTTCAATAACTCATATATGTCAGACAGGGACTCACACCTGTCTGCTTTATAGTACTTTTTTTTTTTTTTTTTTTTAACTCCTATCACATCATAATACCGAGCACCTTAAATTGTCTGTATATCTATCATCCCATCTGTAATATTACTCATTCCATATTTATTACTCATTTCATATTTATTACTCATTTCAATAGCCCACGTTCTTCATATCTCACTTTTATCCCTTAGGATGTTTAGTATATTTAGTCTGTATTTCTTGTATATACTTAGTATTTTTAGTATTTTTAGTCTGCATTGTACTTCTTCTTATATTTAATTTTATTTTGTATTTTCTTTTTGCTGCTGTACCAAGAGAATTTCCCAGTTTGGGATCAATAAAGTATATTTATCTATCGATGTATAAAATATATATTTATAATTATTTATCTCCTCCAAGTTTAGCACTTCTTCCTCCTCTGTTTCTTCTCTGTTCACACTTTCTCTTCATTTCTGTCGAATAACACTTGCTGTCTCTCCCTCTTCTAGTCATGCTTGATACTTTTTTCTACAGCTCTTCACCTAGTGACAAAAAGCTCTGCAATTCTCTGATGGTGTGGTTCATGACCTTGGTCAGGGTACTATTCTTCATCTCTTTGCTCTTGTGATTCATAACCTTTGTCAAAACTTCTACTTCCTCTATCGTTTTCTCTATTGAAATTCCTGCCTCTGAAACTGCTTCTTTCTTGTTCTCTCTGTCATAGTCATCAAATGGTTTATCATCTCGCCTATTATCCCATAGTCGTCCTATTTATCTCATGTAGTATGAAATTCATTGTCACATTTGGAGTTAATCTTACGTTAAATGGTATTATAGGGAGGGCTTTAATTCCAAGTTAGCTTTAGTGTTCTCTGCACTTTACTACGGTTACTTCTTTAAGTTCCAATAAGGTATAATATCAATCAGTTGGTTCAAATGTTTAACAGGGATGCCAGCTGAGGTCAGAAAACCTCTTCTTCTCCAACGACACTTGTCTACATGTACAACATACACTTCATAGACTGTAACAGTTTAGTCACAGTTTTGTCTTTTGACAGCTACATGCTTCTGCATAGGGAGGGATTCTTTGGCTGCTGTGTCTCTGGAGGAGTCAAGGTCGGAACTGGCATTTGATGTATCATTTTATCATTTGTGCAGAGAACATAGACTGTACAGAGAATTTAACTTGCTAAAAATTTGCAGTCTGCATTAAACCTTTCTGCCTTTTTAACTGCCTTTTCTACCTTTATTTTCTGCATTATTATCATTATTATTATTATAATTATTATTATTAAAGTTGTCTTTACTTATAGCTTTTTTGTTTATAGAGACATGCAGTTTATTTAATTGGCTTGTTCTTAGGCTGCCGTCAAACCCAAATTTGATTACTCATAATTCGAGAAATTGTAACTTTTCTGGCTTTTTCTCAAAGATTTTCCAATCTTGACATCTTAATTCTTCTAATTTAGCCTTACTGGCTTCCATCCCCTTTTTTTGTTGTTTTGGTCCAGCCTAGGTGACACCTAGGGTGTCCTATTAAGCTGGGTTCTTTCAATGGGGTAGTGATAAAAATTCCTTATGTGGTAATTCTCGCTTCTACTCTTGCGAGTGGAGAATTCTTGCCTTTGCTTCCACAATAAGGTCACTTCTTACAATCCCACTGTTTTGGTATGAATAGGATATATCTAGTGATATATCTCTATTCCAATCACTCTCACACTTTCACAATCACACTTTTAACACGTGTTTTGCTCTGCAGAATGTTCTCAATCAGGCCTTTGTCCACGGCACAACACCGGAACCGCGCGTCTTCCTCGGAATTTAAACTACATCTAAGATGTGTCCGAATTGGGCCAACGTGTTTAGTATGTAGGAGTAGGATCTAGCAGTAGCACGTAGCAGTAGCATGTAGTATGCGAGCGGGCAATTCGGACACAGCACTAGTAGTAGGACTCCGGCATCCTTCCACGGAATTTAAACTATTTCTAGTAGGACTCCGGCATCCTTTCTGGTCTTTTATAGATTCTCTACGCGAAGCGAATCTCAATCAGTCCACGTTTCTTTTTATAAAAGACCAACTCACCACTTGTCTTTCCCCTTGGCTTCGGATTTCCGTCAACCGTCGGATCCCAGCAGGCGGGTCGAGTCCAGTTCCTCAAAGAGGTCTTTAAGACTCATCCTAGAGAGTCTGCCGTGGCCACGGTCTTATCTGTCGTCCACCTCACCTGCTGGAATCGTCAGGTCTATTGGAATCCGGCTCGAAGGACCAAAGAAATGTTAGGTCTAAAACCTGCCCAAATACCTGAAAACATATAAAGAAGAGAAAGACAATGGTATATGCTCGAGGAGAATGGACAGAGATAGCATCAGGTAAAATCTCAATACCACTCTGAAGGTGGTTTTCTGTCTCCCCTCTTTTATTTAGGGTTGTCCCTGGTTACACAATGTTTCTAAAGGGTGGGGGGAAAATATGTGCAGCAACGTAAGCATTCTCATAAAACATAATAATGAACAACTGTGAATATGTGAAGGTCAAGGCGACATTGTTGCATCAAACGAGCTCCTTCTGATAAGAGCGGATCCTCCTCATTACTTCCCACGATTCACAGTGGAGGATACATCACACACACACACACCTGCTGATAGGAGAAACGAGTCACAGAGAAGTTAAGAAACATTCATGTGCTGTGTAATAAAGCTATTGGAGAGAGAAGTTAGAAAAAACTCTTATATGATGTGTAACAAGAGGTTAAAACAGTTCATACTTGTAGTAAACTCTTTCATAAGAATATGAGGAATAATGATAACTTCTATATACATTTATGCACATTATTCTAACACTAACATTGCGACTTTTTTCAACCCTGCGATATATATTGCGATATTAAAAATATAGGAATTTTCACCAGATGACCTGAATAGCATTTAATGTTATGCTGCACTGCTGAAATCTTGAGGACAGTTAACCTGCACTGATCTTACCTCTTTTTGTGAATGTTAGAAGAATGGCTTCTGTCTGTCTCAGAGATATTTTTAGCTTTTATTGTTCTGGGACGTCATTGTGGCGACAGATGAACACAGAACACGTGTTTTGGTCAACATCATCCTTCTTTTAACCGAAATAATTCCAGATAACTGACTTTCCTTTTCTTTTTGGCAACAAATCTTCATTTTCGGTGGTTTTCTCTTGTTCGTTGCTCATTTTGCAATCGTTGTTGTTGTTGTTGTTGTTAGCGGTGTTCTGCCGAGAAACGCATGTCCTCCAAGAATTGCATGCACCTCGCAAAACGCGCACCGCTTATAGTAGAGTGGTCCACGGAAATGTACCATTTAAAACCCATACAGTTCTTATTTGTTGGGCTTAACAGTCAGTAAAGTTCCGAAGGTAATTCTCAGTGGACACGCGTTTCTCGGCTCAACACCAGCAGCCAGCGAGTACCTCCATGTGCAGAACATGTGCTGGGGTGGGTTTCCTCCGCTCTGATTTTGATTGACAGCTGGCAGAGTAGTCTGATTGGCAACTGAGAACTGAGTCTGATTGGCAACTGAGTAAAGGACAAAGGTGATTGGTGGATGCAAAGCACATGCAGAGTCACATGCAGTGTATCTCAGTCAGTTACCCTTGAAATTAACTGAGTTCATTCACCTCCGACATCGCAGGCTCTGCGATGTGACTATCGCACACACATATATCGTGCAGGCCTACAAGAGAGAAAAAAAACATACATTTTTCGGCGGTAGGCTCGGGTCCGTATTGGACTCTTTCCTGGTCCGGAAGTGGACCGCGGTCCACCATATGGAGACCACTGCTTTAGAGGATATATTACTCAATATGACAGTCACACATCAGCCTCATGTTCAATTATACTGGACTCAAGGACACACCATAATGTTTTCATCCAACCTCTCCTCAGTACATCTTACTATATGATGGGTCAAAAACATCTTTCAATAACACCTGGACATTTGGGATTTAAACCTTAATATATATTTTATCATAGCAGTATGACCTAGCTAACATACCTTTGCATATTCGGTCAAGATATTTACTTAAAAACTATAAACCATAACTGTCTATGTACACACCTTGTGATGAGCACCAAATTTGGCTGTTACTTCTACATAGGGCTTTTTGGTCTATAAGGTCAACAGGGGTTAAAATTAAAACTAACAATTAACTCTTTCCATCATCCACAAAAATCACACTGTAGTAAGCCACCACTTTCACATTGTCTGGGCTGGGGCCCCCCACCACATCTCCAGCCAGAGGCATCCCTGGTCTGGGCAGTTGTCAAAAATGTCCAGTATGGTCACATCCCCAGCAGGCCTTTAGACGTCACACGTCCATCAGAATTCCACTCTCTCCCCCTGCCGGGTTATATCATCTCTATGGAGGAGGGTTCTGTCTGAGGATAAACATTCACAATACTTGTTTAAACAGGTTGCTGTAGCAGGTTTTACTGCAGTTAGCGTCTGCACGGTCTGCATCGCTGGGTCTCTTTTGCAGTGTCCCCCTTAGAGGTGGCCACCATTGCGGCCTGAGTCTGTACTTTGTTTCTGCTTCGCAGGTCTCCCAGCTGTAGCTGTATCAACTTCCGCTGAATGTTCTTTTCCTGTTCTTTCAGTCTCCACTCTTCATTTGGCAGCACCCTCCACCTCACATCACAATATGCATTGAACTCACTCCCATCTATCATGGGATTCGTCATCCAACCTTGTTTTGCCTTGTGCAGAAACTCCTCCATCGTCTTGGTTCCCAGCAGTTGAGCCAAGAGTGCTTTCAAGTCTGGTGTAGTCAACATTTTCCCTACAGTTCATCCTCAAAAACCGATATCCATCTCCCTGCCCCCTCTTCAGTTTGTGGTAGTCTGGCAATCAGCCCAACAAGGTGTGTGGTTTTCCACGGCACATAGCTAGCCTGTGTGCCCTTTATTAAGATTGAAAACATACTATCAGTGCATCTTCAGGTGAACATAATCTAGGCCAGGGGTGTCAAACTCAACCACAGCAAGGGCCATAATCTAGATTTAGGTCTAACCTCAGGGCCAAAGAGGGTCAACATTTCACCAAAACTGTCAATTTCCTTTTCAAAGCGTATGGGACAAAAATAGCAATGATTTTGAATCATTTGGAAATTCAAAAGAGATAAAAAAAAAAAAAAGTTTAAAGGCAACCTGAGATGGGAAAAATTGAGTTTTTTATTCTATTGAAATTGAACGTTTAAATCAGGTTTAAAAGGTCAAAATATGACTTAAATTTTAGAATTGGGATGTAAAGTATCAACATGACACAAGTCTAAATATTGAGTTGAGCAAAATCAAAGCACGAAATAAAAATCCAATCATGTTTGACTTGTAATCTTGAGATGCAAAATTGAAAACATGAAATATAACACCAAATATATATATATTTTTCCACATTCTTGACCACTTATCAAATCTTCTTAATCTTTAATTTCCCAGATGTTCCTGGCTTATTAAGGATATTTTACATAAAGGTGCTAAAGTTTACATTATTATACTGGAAGAAATCTGCAGACTTCATACTGGTGGGCCAATAATAATACAAATATGATATGCTCTTATGGGCCAGATATAATTGTTCCATGGGCCAGATTTGGCCCCCGGGCCTTGAGCCCGACACCTGTGATCAAGGCCTATATCTAAGGTCATATTTTGTGCAGGGTCACATGATATTTGCCGGCCCTGCATCTTACCTAAGCTGGGAAGTATTTGTGCTACTACTACTTGTACTATTGGGTGACAGATAGGCCTTGAGCTAGGACTCCAAATATGGGGTCATCGGTATCAACTGGGGGGAATAATTCTCATAGTGATTTTTGGGTAGGTATACACCTCTAGTACTAGAAAAAATGTGATAGCATTGCATCTGTGGTAGCTTTCTGTGTGTTATCACTCAATTTATGACCACATGCCAAAACAGTTTTCAAAATCCGAATTAACCATTCTACTTCAAACTGATGGTTCTCTCTTATTAATTGACCCTATCTCTGTGAAAAAAATGTCAGAATAAAGCCCAGGCTATATATTGTTCAGTAGAGTTGTTGGAATCAGCATCTCTAGATGTTTTTTTCTCTTATAAGCAGTGACAACATAGTGACGATATATGTCTTTCGTTTTCATGAAAGATGTAACACAAAGGTTTAATTTGTACACAACCTAAACATGTTAATACATAAAACATGGTAAGTAATGCATAGGCTAGATATTTCTACTTTATTCTTGCTGTGATTTAAGTTGTCACACTCACACCTGGCCTGAGTCAGTCTAAATGGATGGAGCTGGGTGTGCACAACACACACATGCTGTGCATTGAGTTAATTGAGGCACACAGTATAAATCGGCCAGTCAGTAGTGGTGGAGTAGTCCCGTACAACATAATTCAGGGAACAGCAGAGTGTTTTTATGTCAAGGAGCTGAATCACTTTCCTTTATGATGGAGGGTCCTAAGCAGACAGAATCGATTAAACAGTGCATTATACACAATAAAATGTCCAAGGATGATGATGAACATTTAGTTAGTCCCCAAGACAATAAATCCTGGGAAACATTACTTGAAGCAGCCAAAGTGAGAAACCATGCCCATATTTTAGACGTTGCTAAAAAACTTGGAGAAAAGGATGTGCCTACAATTTATTATCACAGAAAATGCCGAAGCCTCTTCACCATGAAGAGGGAATTGGAGTCATTGAAAAAGAAAGCCAAGGAAAGCATTACTGGTGATGAAGATGTTGAGTACGGCTGTGTATCAAAAAGGCCCAAAAGGAGATCTTCATCAGCATCAAGGGTGTATGATCATATCTGCATTTTTTGAAAGAAAGAGAAGTTTTTAAAGGGCTCCAAGTCGCGTGAAAAGCTTACACAAGCTGTACAACTCAGCGCTGACCAAACTTCAAGAGAGTGTGCAACTCAAAAAGGGGATGAAAATATTCTAGCAGTAACAAGCAGAGACATAGTTGCTGCAGAGGCCCACTATCATGTCATGCTATGAAGATTATACACAAATCAAGAAAAAGGAACCTGTGTGCAAAAAGAAAAATGAGGAAACAGATCGTGGTGAACTGTATAAAAACATCGAAAGGGAAGCCTATATTGATCTTTTCAAATATATCAGAGCTGATATCATACCCAATAAGACCATTGTACAAGCAATTTCTTTGGTCTCGAAACTTGAACAATTAATGCTGTCTAGAGGAATTACATGCTTGCGAGATTATACAAGGAAGAATATTCGCAGGAATCTTGAATCTGAGCTGGGCAATATAGTAAATATATTCCCAGTTGAGAAAGGAAAATTGCTGATGGTACCACAAAGTGTATCATAAAGGGATGTTGTCTTGAAAAATCAAACACTGCAGAGGGAACTCAAAGTTTGGAGGGCCAAGTCAACCAATTTGAACAAGATCATAGATCAGACTTCATCACATATTAGATCAGTCATAAAACAGGAGATGACTGAGAGTCCTTGGCCTTTCCATCCATCTGACGTGATAGATAGTGGTTATATATCCATACCAGATCAACTGAAGCGGCTACTTGTTGGACTGCTCACTGGAAATTCAGGTTAGAGGCCAGTCCAAAAGCAGCATTGCCATCACCCTCTTTCAATGTGCTTTCAATGTGCTTCCACTGTGATAGTAGTTTCACTGTGATAATAGTTCAGGGGAAAAGGAGTATTTTGGGCAAATTTTAATGAGTTTTGAGCTCATTTGCGTATTGTTGTCTGGCGAAATTAACATACTTTTCCAACGAGGATTTCATAGGACTTATATTATGTTAGTCTAGACACCTTATAGAAATGATGTATGGTGAAAAGAAACCCTTTCTATAGGTTTTTTGGGGGGTTAAGTTGTATGTTTTCATATATTGACCCATGTAATTTTCGCCTAGTGTTATAAAATAAAATGCATGATAGCACCCATTTAGCTACCACTGCTGCAATGCTATCACATATTTTCTATACATGTATACAATGTCAAAAATCACTATGAGCATTATTCCCCTCAGTTGATACTGACCAACCCCCCTGGCTCATGGCCTAAGAGTTCATGTGGCAAGTCTATGTTATTGTTACCCAGATTAAACCAATATGACTGTTCAGCATTATCATTCACATAACAATTACCTATGATCATTACTTCAGGGAATTGGGCAAAGGTTTGTTGTAGGCTTTGTCTCCCTCAGCAAACTCAAAATCACATATATTAACTTTCCCTAAAAGAGAAGGATAATTTCCTACATTTTCTGATACTAGATTTGGCTGCAGAATCTCTTTTCTGTTTTACCTATTTTCCATGTTTGTGACTTTCTTTTCTCCACCTTCTCCTTATTGCTTTCTAGCTCTGCAAACCCAATCTTTAATTTATTCATAAAATAGTGTTGGCCTTCACTTTTGAACATGTCCAGTACTTTTAGTTCCAAATCTCTTGTTTTTGCATTTTTCACTTTTATCTTTGTGTTAACGGTCTTTAATTTGCTGCTCCAAATCCTCACACACAGTCACATCAGATGTGCCTCCTCTAGGTCATAAAAATTCTAACCCCTTGACTCAATGTCCCCATTTCTTTGTAAGTTTTTGGATATCATTTAAGTGCTCAGGTGTCCTGGTTTTTCTGTCTTGTCATTTTCATGTTTTATTTTGAAAAATAACTCTCCTCTCGTTTCAGGTCACTTGCCCTTCCCCTTAGAATAGAATAGAATAGAATATTCCTTTATTGATTCCCCATGGGGGAAATTTTTTTGTCACAGCAGCAGCAGGACAAGACAGAAAGTGCAAAATGCAGTTATAACAATAAGGGTCCTAATATTAAGAACTTAATAAATGTAATAATTAAGAAAAAAAAAAATTGAAAAGAGAAAAGGGAGAAGAAAAAATAAACTTTCTGCAATATACACAATTTAAATGCCATAAAAAAAAGTGGTGGTGTAAATCCAGTTTTGTTACTGTTCATTGTAAAGTCTTATTGCAGAGGGGAGGAATGATCTGCGGTAGCGCTCCGTCCTGCAGGGTGGGAGTCTCAGTCTGCTGCTGAAGGAGCTGCCTAAAGCCCCCACAGTCTGGTGCAGTGGGTGAGAGGGATTGTCCATGATGGATATAAGCTTTGTTAACATCCTCCTCTCACCCACCTCCTCCAGGGAGTCCAAAGAGCAGTCCAGGACAGAGCCGGCCCTCCTGACCAATCTATTCAGTCTCTTCCTGTCCCTCTCGGTGCTCCCTGCCCCCCAGCAGACCACTGCATAGAAAAGTGCAGATGCTACCACAGAGTCATAGAATGTCCTGAGCAGAGTCCTGCACACTCCAAAGGACCTCAGTCTCCTCAGCAGGTGGAGACGACTTTGGCCCTTCTTGTACAGAACGTCTGTGTTTGTTGACCAGTCCAGTTTGTTGTTGAGGTGGACACCCAGGAATCTGTAGGACTCCACCATCTCGATGTCCAGACCCTGTATGTTCACTGGAACTGTTTGAGGTGTCCCCCTCCTGCGGAAATCCACAACCATCTCCTTTGTCTTACTGGCGTTGAGCTGGAGGTGGTTTGTGCCACACCAGTTGACAAAGTCAGTGATGACAGTCCTGTATTCCCGCTCGTCCCCTGACGATACACATCCGACGATGGCTGTGTCATCAGAGAACTTCTGGAGGTGACAGCTCCCAGAGTTGTAGCTGAAGTCTGAGGTGTACAGGGTGAAGAGGAAGGGGAGAGCACTGTCCCCTGTGGAGCCCCCGTGCTGCAGACCACCATGTCCGATACACAGTTCTGAAGCCTCACAAACTGTGGTCTGTCGGTGAGGTAGTCCACGGTCCATGCGGCTAGGTGACAGTCCACTCCCGCCCGCTCGAGCTTCCCCCTGAGCAGTGAAGGCTGGATGGTGTTGAACGCACTGGAGAAGTCAAAAAACATGACCCTCACAGTGCTGCCAGTGTTCTCCAGGTGAGCCATGGACCTCTGCAGCAGGTAGATGACTGCGTCATCCACCCCGATGTTCGGCTGGTACGCAAACTGCAGAGGATCCAGATGAGAGCTCACCAGGGGGCGGAGGTTCCTCAGCACGATCCTCTCCAGAGTCTTCATCAGGTGAGAAGTGAGGGCCACAGGTCTGAAGTGGTTGGGCTCCCTAGGGTGCGCTGTCTTGGGGACAGGAATCACGCAGGAAGTCTTCCACAGTGTTGGGACCCTCTCCAGACTCAGGCTCAAGCTGAAGATGTGCAGTAGCACCTCACAGAGCTGGTCTGCACAGTCTTTCAGGAGTCTGGGGCTGATGCCGTCAGGACCCGTGGCTTTCCTTGGCTTCATCTTCCTCAGCTCACTTCTCACCTGGTCAGCTGTTATGGAGAGGCTGGGGGTGGTGCTGGAGGGGGTGGTGGAGGATGAGTGGAGGGGGTTGATGGTGTCGGTGCCATGGGACTGAGGTGGTGTGAATAAGAATAAGAAGAAGGAGGAGCAGCAGACGGGTCGTTGGTTAGATGAGTCGGGGGAGGAGTGGGAGTAGAGTCAAATCTATTGAAGAACAGATTCAGCTCGTTGGCCCACTCCCTGTCTCCTGCTTCAGATCCCCTCTCATGGCCCCTGCTATGACCTGAGATGGATTTTAGGCCTCTCCAGACCTCCCTTGCGTTGTTCTGTTGCAAAAGGTTTTCCATCTTGGTCTTGTAGCTGGCCTTTCCCTCTCTGATCTTCTTCTTCAACTCCTTCTGCACCCTCCTCAGCTCCTCCTTGTCCCCAGATTTAAAGACCCTCCTCTTCTCCTTCAGGAGGACTTTCAGTTCCGGGGTCACCCAGGGTTTGCTGTTGGAGAAACACCGTACTTTCCTGGTGGGTACGGTGTTCTCAACACAGAAGTTAATATAGTCCGTGATGCAGTCAGTCATGGTGTCGATGTCATCACCATGTGGGCCGCACAGTACATCCCAGTCTGTGGTCTCAAAACAGTCCTGCAGCGCCTCAGTGGCCTCCTCAGACCACCTCTTAACATACCTGATGGTGGGGGGTTGTTTCTTCACCATAGGTATGTAAATGGGCTGCAGTCTCACCAGGTTGTGATCTGAGCGGCCCAGCGGGGGAAGGGGGGAGGAGGTGTATGCATCCTTGGTGTTTGCATACAGTAAGTCCAGAGTTTTATTGTCTCTTGTTGGGCAGTTTACATCCTGGCTGAAGGTAGGGAGAGTGGAGGACAGCGATGCATGATTAAAGTCTCCAGAGATGATGATCAGAGACTGAGGGTGTGATGTCTGTAGCTTGGACACTTCATTATGGAGGAGTTCACAGGCTGCAGCAGCCTCAGCCGAGGGGGGGATGTAAACAGTTAACGCGATGACGTGCGAAAATTCCCTCGGCAGGTAATAAGGCCGCAAACTCACAGCCAGCAGCTCAATGTCCTTAGAGCAGAGCTGCTCTTGTGTTTCCGGTCTGACGTCTCCCCTGATCCCTGATTGTTTCCACCTGTTCCCCATTAACCTCATGTGTCTTATAGTCGGCGTCTCCCTTTGTCCTGTGCCAGAGTGTCTCGTTTATTCGTGTTCCTCCAGTGATTTTCTGTTGTAGTTTTTTTCCCTGTTTAGTTTTTAGATCTAGCTTCTGTTTCATAGCCTTGTTGTTTTTTCCTCCCTTTTGGAGTGACTTTGTTTTCTTACAGTTTTTCCTAGCCTAGTAGTGCAGTGTAGTTAAGTTTGTAGCCCTTTTGTTTCCCTCCTTTTGGAGCGCCTTTTGTTTCTAAATTTTTCATAGTGATTCCTCTGAAGATTAGAGAAGATTAGCCTTTTAGTTTGTCCTCCCTTTTGGAGTGATTTTTTTGTTCTGTCTTGGTTTGATTTTGTTTCTGTGTTTGTCTGTCCATCCTTAGTAGATAGGTAGAAGGTTTTCATAGCCTGTTTATTTATCACTCCATCTACTGAGAAAGAAGACGATTTTCAAAATAAAGCATTTGTTGAACTTTGAACCTCTGCGTCTGAGTCCTCCCTCTAGTCCAGGCCTGACAATTTACACCCTACCAATGTAATTGGAGTTAAACTAATTTTCCCTTTCTGGTCATGGTTTTTGTAGAATTACTTTGTTCTAAAAACTTAGATCAACAGTGGTCCTGTAAACCTATTTGTTTTATTTCTTGCTATGCTTTTACCTTTGGAAAGAAAACAGTTGTTACTATTATTATTATTATTACTGATTTTAATTCTTAATTTCGTGTTAAAGTATTCACACTATGGAAAACATCACTTTACTTCTCTGTCCCTCTTCACAACTTTAACAACTTTCATTTACCCTTTGTCTGATCTCTAATCCAGAACACACAGTCACCCCTTGCCACAAATAAAGGAAAAAAAGAATAAAACAGACCCGACACAAAGTCAGGATCTTTCTCTATATGTCACACCATTTTTCCAAGCCTTGCCTTACTTCAAACTATGTCACAATCAAAGCCACAATACTCTCACTGTCAGTCTTTTACACATTCACTACTCAAACAGCACACTGCCACACCCTACTTCAATCTTAACTTGCGTCACCATTCAACACTTCAACACTTCTTCAAATTAACACACACACATTAAAACCTGATCCCCAGCAGTTTTGTAAAATTCTCAAAAAATACACAGTACAAAGCTTTTGCATTAACTGAAGTCCCACAGTAATAGTCAGTATTGGTATTGACAGCTTCAATAATATTTAAAAAAACACAGTATTTTGGCAGAAACAGCGGATGTATAGAAGCAACCCTTAGATTTGAAGTTTTAGAAGTTTTGCACTCGCGGTACCTCATTTCTTTTTCCCCTTTTTGTATCTTTTATACTTTCACAAACATTATTTCAGCAGCTTTAACACAGAAAATTTGTTAAGGAGCAGAAGACATGTGTTAACAACAAAAAAACATAATATTCAAGCATAAGCTAAAACCTTCATATCAGGAGTGTTCATCATGGTACTAGGAACAGAACCTCTTTCCCAGGAGTATTTAACCTTTGTAGCAATCAAGACAACCCTGGGTGTGAAACCCACACATTCCTCAGAGGAAAGTTTCCTTATCTGGTCCCAGGAAACAGGATATAAATCTTTCCAGACTCGTTTACACTTTCAGGTTAAATAAGTGACCCAAACGGAGGTTGACTAAACCTCCGACTCTTCACGATTGGTCAATTCGGAGAACAGAGACAGAGTTTTTATTACCTTTCAAACTGACTCCATTTGCTGACCATCTAAATAAACATTAACCTCAACCCAGATCTCCCATTTGAGATTTAGCGTCTTAAAGTGTGTGAACATACGGACCCCAGGATAAGGGGGGACACTGACCTCCAGACCTCGGTCGTAAAACCCTGCTCGACCATACACTGATAAAGACTGCATTCCTTTGGTGAAAGAATACAAATGACTGATCATGACATCTTATGCATTCAGCAATGTACTAATCTGTCTAATCATGAAATTTGTGTTGAAATGAGATGTTTCCCGTTTTTCTATGTGCTTCAGAAGCCAAGTTATCTTATCTGACAGAATAAATCCTTATTCTTTAGTTCTTTAGACCAACAGCTTTTCAGACTGTTTCATGAACTTTTAAGAGTTAAATTTATTGACTATGAATCCTAAGTTTACTCTAAGTAACAGAAATAGTTTAGAAATGTTTGGTTTATATTTTAGTTATTTATTTAGTATCTTAACCATTAGGTGGTTATAATGTCACTGAATAATCTGAATGTGAGTATTTAGAATCCATTATTAATCATGATGACGTTCGTTCACATGTGTTTACTCTTTTGTTGTTCACAGTTTCTATGTGTTACTATCTGTTTCATTTCAGAGTAATTTAGCATGTTCAATGTGATACTTAAACTAGTCAGCTGATACCTCAGTACATGACTAAGATTCAAAAGGCCAAACCCTCCAATCCGGAGGATGAAATGGCTGACCTACTGGAAACAGCCTTAACCATGACACTTCGTGACAAAGAGCTCACTAGACGCATGTCTGTCGTGATGTCTTCTCAGCTTGAGTATAAAGACTACTTGCTGGAATGCGCTTTAGCAAAGATAAAGACGCAAAAAGAAGAAAACAGCGCTCTGAAAAAGACGCTAGAAGAGACTAAGAAGTCTCTAAGTGTTTTAGGAAAACACAGTGCCAGATGTGAAGCGTCAAAGCTTCCCTCACTGATAAGTCATGAAGAAAATCTTGATCTTAAAGACAAGATTGAAAGACTTAATGAAACCCTTTACAAAAAGGAGAAAGAACTTGATGACACGAATAATCAGCTTGCTAAGACCACAGAGGATCTGATACAGTCAGAATCCCTGCTAGAGCAAGCAACAGAAGATGTAAAAGCTTTGAAAGCACTGGTCAAAGTGCGTGCTGAAGCTCTTGAAGTTAAGGAGAAGCAAACTTCTACCTTGCGGCACCAGCTCCAGATAGCTCAAAGACAGTTAATTCTTTGTCAAGAACGGCAAGAAAAGACAGACAAAGAACTTGAAGATGCCCAAAGAGAGTTACAATGCTCCCTCCAGTCAGGTCGAGCCCAAAGAGAACGCATGGAGCAAACGTTTCTTGAAGAAATGATAGGTGATCAGCCTCCTGAGAGAGCGCCATCACTTCCTTCCAAACCAACTCTTAAGTATCTCTCTCAGCATCATGACAGGACCCTGCTTGACCCTGAGAGGTCATCCTTAAACCAAGAGTCCTACTCTCCTCCTCATGATGGCTTCTTACCATCTCCCTCAGATAGGGATCTTGACAAAATTGCTCGCAACATAGCACGCTTTGAACCTGAGCACCAAGGTGCTACTGACACCTGCACCTACTTGAAAGACATTGACTTTTACCTGAGGAAATTTCCAGGTGCAACCATTGATGACAAGATCTACCTTATTAAGGCAACGTCAAGTCGAGAGGTTAGCAGTTTCCTTGAACGACAGCCTTATCATGTCAGAAATAATTATGACTTGCTCTGCCAAGCATTAATTGAAGAGTTTTCTGATCATTTGACCCAGACAGGCCTTTGTGCTGCTCTGTCTATTAAACAAGGGAGATCAGAACCTCCCCAACATTATTACAACCGCTTACGCGAAGCTTACTTTGGTTTCCGAAATGAACCAGAAATGGAGGAGGACTTGAACTTCAAAACGCTGTTCGTCCAGAACCTCCACCCTACCACCAGTCATCACCTTGGCGTCTTAGCTTGTCCAAACACTTTGACTAGCCGACAGCTTCGTGAACTTGCTGTAAAAGGTTTTGCCAAACAACGACAAACTTTGGCTAAGAAAGCAGAGCCCGTTACTCTCTTGGCTATGGGGACAAAATCACTGCCCATGGAGCTGAATGAAGCTTCAGACTGTGTATTTTCAGGCTCCGATAAGCCTCCAAATGAGTGGTTAACCTGGCCTCCAAAACCTTTTCGACCTCAACAAACTCACAAAGGTCAAAGTTACACACCAAGGCCCAGGTCTGACACAGACCAATGCCCGGTAAACTTTGAGACCAACTGTTGTTATTCAGACTCCCGTCACGGTGGGTTTTGTCCCAGACAAAGGAAAAACCATCGACACCGCCAAAGGGGGGTGAATGACTGGCAGAATCAGAGTAAATCACACTCTCAGAAACGACGATCTTATTATCCACCTCAATCGGTTTCATCCACTTTGAAGGTGAATAAACATGACTACTCAGCTAACCACTGAGATTAACACTGCGGAGTCATGAAGGTGTGAGTCCTGCGAAAGCAGAAGTCACCCAGCCAAAGCTAAATGACTCCAATAAGATATCCAAATGCTGTGGTGATACATTGATGACTGCAATCCCAGTTGCTGCTTTCTTTGTTAGCATTTGTCTCTCCTCTGTCAATATGGTCAGCTTGTCAGCTGTCAAATATCTCATCAATAGATTAAAAGCTGAAATTTCTGTCATTAAGACTCAGATTGACAAATTTCAGACTCAACAGCAGATAATTAGTCAAACCGGTAAGAGCATCATCCCCAAGTTTAACAGATAAAGTTTAAGAGAAACTCTGTGCAGTAAACTTTTGATGTTTGTGATTCAGGTTGACTATGCTCATACACAGATGATTAAACATGTCTATAGCAGACATTTCTTTTCCACCTAAGTCTTAACCATTTTTGAAACTGAAATTGAACTTTCAGACTTCTCCAGCAAGCATGGAAAACAGCTATATCTTTAGATCCAGTTAGCATTCAGACTAAATAGTGCTTTCCTAAATCTCATTAATACTGAAAATTAGGAGATTTTCTTTCACATTAGTCTACCAATAGTTAACTGAGGAAAGTCTAACAACAAGACTATTTTATTTGATAGCTTAATGCATGCTTAATTTTATCTCAAAGCAGTACTAGTGATTCACATAGTGATGACGAGACGCATCAGTCCTATTTGCATACACCTGCTGCTGCTTCATGGTTGTCTACTCGTCGTCCCGATGCTCCATGGACAGGACCACCGTGACGAAGGGGGGACTGTAGCAATCAAGACAACCCTGGGTGTGAAACCCACACATTCCTCAGAGGAAAGTTTCCTTATCTGGTCCCAGGAAACAGGATATAAATCTTTCCAGACTCGTTTACACTTTCAGGTTAAATAAGTGACCCAAACGGAGGTTGACTAAACCTCCGACTCTTCACGATTGGTCAATTCGGAGAACAGAGACAGAGTTTTTATTACCTTTCAAACTGACTCCATTTGCTGACCATCTAAATAAACATTAACCTCAACCCAGATCTCCCATTTGAGATTTAGCGTCTTAAAGTGTGTGAACATACGGACCCCAGGATAAGGGGGGACACTGACCTCCAGACCTCGGTCGTAAAACCCTGCTCGACCATACACTGATAAAGACTGCATTCCTTTGGTGAAAGAATACAAATGACTGATCATGACATCTTATGCATTCAGCAATGTACTAATCTGTCTAATCATGAAATTTGTGTTGAAATGAGATGTTTCCCGTTTTTCTATGTGCTTCAGAAGCCAAGTTATCTTATCTGACAGAATAAATCCTTATTCTTTAGTTCTTTAGACCAACAGCTTTTCAGACTGTTTCATGAACTTTTAAGAGTTAAATTTATTGACTATGAATCCTAAGTTTACTCTAAGTAACAGAAATAGTTTAGAAATGTTTGGTTTATATTTTAGTTATTTATTTAGTATCTTAACCATTAGGTGGTTATAATGTCACTGAATAATCTGAATGTGAGTATTTAGAATCCATTATTAATCATGATGACGTTCATTCACATGTGTTTACTCTTTTGTTGTTCACAGTTTCTATGTGTTACTATCTGTTTCATTTCAGAGTAATTTAGCATGTTCAATGTGATACTTAAAACATAATGAGAATGTTTGATGTGATCCTACACTTCATTCATATGTGTTTAGTGTCAAATTATTTATCATGAAACCTAGCATTCAATGATATTAATCATAGTGAGTGAGTATCAGATCTGACTCTTTTACCAGCCAAAAGAATAAGTTAGATCAAATAATCAGAGATCCGAGTTCATCTCTGCTTGGAGACCACACAACCCCTCCTCCTCTTTCTCCTCACACCCACACGCCGGAGACACACCCAGTGTGAGAAGATAAAACCAGTGAAGTGGGGTTGCTCGCTCTCTTATTCCTCTTACTCGCTCTTATCTCTCTTACGCTCCTCTTTTTTACTCTTATTCCTCTTATGCTTCTGCTCTTCTGCTGACTCTCTTGTCCCCGGCTCTTATGCCCCTTCTCTTCTGTCCACACCCTTCTGTGGTGCGTTTCTTTATTTTCTCTTAGAACTTTTTCTTAGTCTTCTAAGTTTTACGCCACGTGTTGATTCACGTTGATTTTTCTTTAACATCGTCTTAGTTCAAGTTTTGAAACTTCAACTTTTTGTGCGCATAGCAATTCAAGATTAAGCCTTTGATTGATTTTTCTTTAATTTTGCGAAGCCATTTTTGAAAGTTTTCTCTGCTCTTCGAGCCTCGTTTTTCTGAGTTTTCTGCGTGATTTCAAAGTCACCTCTGAACGCAACCCAGCAGGCCCAGGTCATCCTCTGTGCCAGAGTTTTTGAGTGAGACCAAAGAAGTACCCAAACGAGCATCCACAGGATCCACAGGCGCTGGCTTTGCTTCGGGCCCGAGTGCTGCAACTCCTGGCTCATCCTTCGGCTGACTTCAGTCGTCTTCTGAGCTGAACCGCTCGAACCGCCAGTAGCCCCGGACCTTCGGAACCTGCTCCATCTTCTCCAAGGACCAGTCTCACTTAAGTATGCAAAGCTCCAGAGCTCCAGACAGGGCTGATGCTGTCTCACGCGTTCATAACTCAGATATCCACCTATTTCTGGTGATCTTAGATTCCTCCAAATCCACATCCGAGTTTATCTCGACACCAAAGTTAGTGTAGGTTAATATGTTAGCGCATATTCACTCACTATCATTAACTTTAGTGCTCCTAGCCTGACTCAGAATCTTTATTTATTCACCTATTATTATTTTATCTTCATTATCTTATCATCATTTATTGCATGTGTGTTGTACCATCATTTATCCTGTAATAAACAGATCATTATTTTTCTAAGTTCTTGACTGTTAGTGTTCTTCCAGAAGTGGAGTCCCTGAAATTAGAATTTCGACTTAAGATATGAGACTGATTAATTAAGACTGATTAATTAAGACTGATTAATTAAAACTGACTTGATGTTTGATTTCTGAATTAAACTTTTGTTTTCTTTATTTTCCCACCATTAAGGGTGGGTGGTGCCCCTTTCAACGAGTGCATAAATGTCATAATTTGAGATTATTAATCTTCAGACATTTATTATAAATTCCAATCGCTACAGTACTATTTTGGTACGGCCTTGTGAGGCTCATTTCAAATCACTACACCTTCTATGTCTCAATTGATAGCATGTCTGCAGTGAGCACAGTATTCACATAAACAACTATGAAATAAACACAAGTGAGGAAAACACAGCAATCTTAGAATAACATAACACACACACAGATGCAGAGTCTGGCTGTGAACACTGCCAGAGAACTTGTTGACACAAAGCAAAGCAGACACACACAAACATCCAATCAACCCACACACTTCACTTTTTCATCACACAATGGTATAGCCTTACACACGTATTTAAAGTCAAAGTCAGTCACTGGGGTCAGTCAGCAGTCTTCACCTTCTTTACTCTTACTTTAAATTAATTTTAAGTGTTTTGTACTTTTTTAACATTCCTACAATTAATGTGTTGAGGGTCAGTCCTCAGTTTTTATTCCTGATTCTTGTTTTGATTTTTCCAATGTGTGTGATTTTTCTACAATTGGTCAGGAGATATGGGACGTGCTTGTTCAATTGGGATCCCTGAATAGGCTTTTCACCCTATCCTTATTGACCTCTTTTTCAATCTCCTGCTCATTAAGCCAATCTGTAATTTAAGTCCAATTATAACACTGATTTAGTAAGGTCTTTGATATATAAAAGATATATATATATATATATATATATATATATATATATCATTCTCCTTTTGGCTTTTTCTTAAGCCTCAGCGGAACTCCGCATGACAAATCCTCCTTTCTAGTGGAGTTTTACAGAAAGAAAATCCACGTATGTATTACTAGATGAATCTGCTCGTCCGTCGGCTACAACCTTTCAGAGCTCATAAAAGAATGACCTAAAACTCACAGTTCAACAATGGACAGACACACTCGTGCCTGCCGCTTCCCTTGTTATCTCAACAATTGTCCAGATCCTCTTTATCACCACGCATTCAACCTAAAAACACATCACAACCCGGGCCAGGCTGTCTGCAGACCGGTGTCCACCCAACTACTGGCCTATGCTCCTTCGCACCCAGTCTAGCTAGTTCCACAAACAACTGGCCTTGTGCTGCTCCGCACCCAGTCTAACTAGTTCCACACAACTACTGGCCTTGTGCTGCTCCGCATCCAGTCTAACTAGTTCCACTCAACTACTGGCCTTCTGCTTCTCTGCCAACCTAGATTATTTGTAGCTCCTTTCTAAAAGATAATTACTCTATATTTCTTAACCTAAATGTATGAAGAGATTCTCCTACACGACAAGCTCCACATCTCTAACACTGGCGGTAACCTACACCTGCAGAGACACCAAAGCCTTATTATGGCATACGGATTTATATCATAAACTAAAGCTCAATGCCATTCATGGCTATTTATGGCTGCAGTGATGGATTTATCCGCGGCATATCTATTTCTGCCTCCACAAAAGCAGCGATTTCCTCCAAGTCCACCTGTTTCTTTTCCGTGGAAAAGTCGCATTTCTCATATATTCTGTTTAAAGTCCAAAGGATGAAGTATCTCCTTGTTTGTGAAACTTATACTGAAGCACAGTTCCCTTCAAATGCTCAATGACCCTAATTTTAACAACTCTCCCCTGAAATAACAGGTAACCTTACGACTTTATTCTCGTCAATTCACAACTTTAATCTCGAAGTCTTTAAAAAAAATTCTCGTTATGACCCTCGTAGTCCTTCTTACAAAACATGCAATCATTGGATGAATTTTGTGGAAATTATCTGTGCTTGTCTGTATCAATTGTTTTGTGTCTTTTGTTTTGTGTATGTATTGTATGTATGCAAGGTCGCACAATTAAAAAACAACTGCTGCTTGTACTTGTACAATACAAGTTATTTTCACCCTGACATTTTAGAAATGTTTCTACCATTTGTTTACGTAATAATCATTGAATATTTCTTTTTCCCCTTTTTTTCTAACATGTTACTGTTATTGACTTGTTATTTAAGTTTACATAATGGCATTCAAGCATAGGCTATATGAATTACCCCAACAGTATCATAATTTAGCTCTAGTTGTGTGCCTGTTTTTCAAATTAAGGCTGCACCACATTGCTAAAATGACTACACTTAGCGTACAGAAAGACAATGTGAGACAGAAGCTCACCAAAACAGTCCTTTTCAAGGGGCAGTAGCTCAAACTGTCCGTGCACTTGTATATATGTTGGTTTTGTTGCGACCGTGTGAGTGACTGTTGATTTGGAGTGAATGTTGCATGGTTTAGTGTGACTGTTGGTTTGGAGTGAATGTTGAATTGTTTTGTAATTGTTCACATCTGTTTAATAAAAGAACCTTTATGTCATGTTACTGAATGTGTTTATTTTGATTTTTATATTAAAATATATGTAGCAGAACGGGTAAGATGAACGAACCATCCCCTTGATCTTTAAAACTATACACGAGTTGTTATATGACCCTAAAATAAGAACACAAATATTTCCAACAGGCCGTGGAATTTTTTACATTTGTGGTATAATTATTTTTATGTTAAAGCAAATGGACCCAGGTCTAAACTTATACATCATGCATGTTAGTGATATTCAATGTAAAGAACTATGTGAATCATTAAGCAAAATATCATTCTGAAGCATTATCAAAATGATGGCCATGGGGCTAGATAAACCAAAAGCCTTGGGGTAAATTGAAGCAATATGACTCACAATTTATCGAATTTTTATTAGGTCTTTGCTACTCAAATTAGCAGAATGATCTTTTATTTTTGATAAATACACTCATTCAAGAGAAGTTTTCAATATTAATAATGATAACAATAATAATTATTATAATAATATATTAATAATAATTAATAATGTTTAATAGCCCAAAGAAAATAATTAAGACTATTTGAAAAAGGGAAATGTCTTTATAAAATTATTTTTCATCAGTAAATACATTATTTGTTAAAGTTTTAAGTTTAAAATATCATGTAGGTCAACTTACCCCTTTTTGTTTAGTATATGTATTAAATAGAACTATAAAATATCTAACTATTAAATGTTTAATATAAAAAACACTGACAATTTAATTTCACTGTGTGTATGTGTGCAGCTATAGCAGGTATTGCTCCACTATCTCCTTTTTTAATTCAATATGAAAGTCCATGGTTATAATTATCCATAAATATGCAGAAACATAACTACATCTCTGGCGTTTATAACAAACCAATCCGTTTGAAAATCAGTTGAAATTTGAGCAGGATATGGTCATTGAAACAGTACATGCACCATAGACATTAACGTTATCAGTGGGCCAGCAGCCCCTAGGTAAGATGGCCGCCGTGTGACGACGTCAGTCCCCATTGGCTCACAGCGTAGGTAAGCTATCTAGTCTTTCTATATATCTATGGGAGACATATGCTGTGTCCGAATTGCCCGCTCGCATACTACATGCTACTGCTACGTACTACTGCTAGATCCTACTCCTACATACGAAACACGTTGGCCCAATTCGGACACACTCGACGAGCGGCGGGGAAAGACGACCCCCGCAGGCAGAGAGTAGGTACTGCGCCCGTTTTAGACTGAATGGTAATTGTGCAAGTGATGGATGCTGCTGTATTATATTCCTGCACTGCTTTAGAAAGTCACAAAGTAGCTTTTCCATTTCTTTTAGACTTCATTCACTCACGTGGTGATCGTTTGTTCAATGAGATCTGCCTGATTACTGCAGCTGTGCAGTTTAATGATGGAATAAGTGAGCTTTACCTCCATGATGTCGCCACATATTTGCTCATAAAATGATTACTTAGGCAAATATGACACCATGACATGACAAAGATACAACTGCACATTTTTTTAGGACAGTGTGTTAAGTTATATTAAAATTACATCTGTACTGCTGCGGTCCTGCCTCCTGCTGCTCCGCCATGGTGCGCGCTGCTGTGGCCGGCCGGCGTTCGCAACGCATTTAAAGAGGCAGAGCAGCTGGTGGCGCTAGCATCACATGCGCTTCTACAACTTTTAAGAGGACGAAGAAGAAGTCCGCGGTGCATTTTGGGTCAGTAGCATGCCCGTAGGATGCACCGCGACCATCCTACAATGTGGGCGTGTCTAGTATCTGAAGTAGCATACTCGCTCCGGTGGCCAATTCGGACATGCTACATACTACTTCGACTACTACTTGGCAATTTGGACGCAGCAACAACAGCCTGTATCGCTAGCTGGTGACCTTTAACCCGCCTCTGCTCTGTTTACCTCCACAGCGCCCCCTCCGGCGAGCTGAAACTTTCCCAGCTGCTGCTGCTGTTGTTCTTCCTGGTTTGTCCGAAGAAGTGCCCCCTAAGTGCTCCCTCTGCTCCCATCCTGCCTCCTCGTTCACCTCCTCCCCTCTCTTCCCCTCTGCTTCATCACACGGACTTATCGCTGAACCTCAACGGGACTCCCTGCTCTCAGTGTCCGGGAAACGGCGCAGGGAGCTGCGTAGAGTTCACACGGGAGTCGGTGTTGGTCTGGTTCTCCTGATGGATTTTACGTAGACTGTTTGTCCTCTCTGGTGCTAATGCTAATTAGCCGTCTTCGTTAACCAGGTTAGTGGAGCTGGAAGTTAAACCTTTATCTGTGCCTGTTTTTAAAGCCAGTTTGGTTAACTCGGTTACAACTAAAGGTGCTAATTAACAGAGTAGCTAGCTCCGGCTAACGCTGTGTTTAAATGTAGCTCGGGTTTGTTCTCCCTGTGTGTCATTTGGGATGAACCCAGCTGTAAATCACGAGTCTGGTGAGTTCAGCTTAGTTAAAGTGTCCCTTTAGTTTACTTCAGCTGGTTTTGTTTCAGTTTAGGCTTAAACCGGCCTATCTGCGGTCTTAAACCTAGTTTAAATAGCGACCGGTTTAAATAAGGAGTGGTTTATCGGATCTAGAGACAGGTGTTCACAGTTTACGCTCAGTTCTGGATCACAGGGGTGCTGAAAGGTGTTTATTGCCCTGTACTGAATGGGGTTCTGAATGTAGTCTGGTCCGAATGACGGAGACTTGAACCTGGAGCTGAGTGGTTCGGTTTAAATTAACTCCGTTTAAAATACACTGAAGTATACTTCACATCTTGATTTAACCGTAGTCGTTTCATACCGGATTTGAGTTAACTTTGACCTTAAATCAGTCAGGTCTGGGCTGTCATTCAGGGGGTCAAGCGAGATCCAAAGTGTCCCTATCAGTGTGTTTTTCTCATAGTTTAGCTTGTGACTCAATGTTTTGGACAAGTTGTTCAACGTAGCTGGGTCCTGCCTGGTTGATTTCATCCGCCCCTTCCACTAGTGTATTTCTCCTGTAGTGAACTGGTTCTGAGTGAAACCAGGTCACCAGAGTCTCTGGCTAAAGTGTCCTTCGTGTAGTTGAATCTTTTGATTAAGTTATGGTGGTTTGTACGTGGTCTGGTCTTTGATAGCTCTTGGTTTAAATACAGTCTGATAGACTGATCATGTGGTTCTGGGTCTGAGCCTGGTCCTCTGATGTTAGTGTGGGTCTAAGCAAGGTGTGGTCTCAGGTTAAACTCAGGATGGCAGAACTCCATCAGACTCCCACCTCGCTGTGCTGCTGTCGTAAATCCCTGCCAGTCTCAGGATGTGTCAGGGACGCCGGCCGGCCCTTGGTGGCTCCAGGTCCTGGCCCCTCACATGGCCCCCTGGTGGATGTGGCCTCAGCGTCTAACTTCCACTGCTACAAGCTGCGACACTTCCACCTAGACCTGCGGATCAACTTTGCTGTGAAGGAGATGACGGGCTGGCTGGTTCTGGACCTGATCCCGGTCCAGCCTGGAGTCCAAACACTGATCATGGACTCCCACCCATCCCTTCTCATCCAGTCCATTGACTGTAAGGTTCCTGGGGCTGCTCAGGAGGAGCCCGTCTCCCTGACATATAGGGTAGACCCATTCACAGACTACGGCTCGTCTCTAAACATCAGCCTGCCCTCAGCAGCCATCAAACCGGGTCAGCTGATCCAGATAACTGTCCACTACACCACCACAGATGGACCAGCAGTAAGGAAACCAGAACAACAGGATTGATTGATTGGTGTCTAAATCCTACTGATAATAATCTGTTCCTTCAAATGAACAGATTATTAATGGATTATAATATCAAGTGTAATAACAGATGATATTGTGATTAAAGAGTCAATGACGTATAAGGTTTTTCAACATGCCAGTTTTAAAATACCAAAAATAAGAATATCTTTTGCAACAGTTCAAACACTAAGGATGTTATGTATACAAAAATTAAAGTTTAATTTTTAAATTAGGCAATTTTAGTGTTTTTTCATATAGATGAATTGCCTGTGGCCTTAAAAAATGTCATGTGGTGCAACCATCATTTATCTCAAAATTATTACATTTTTTCAACATACTCCATAGTTTTTTACAAATTGTCAGTAATATCAAGCACATAGGAACAAAGCCTTTGCATTTTATTTGAGTTTTTGTGAATAATGATCTCATATATTAGCTCTATAATGTCACAGTCGCTATATCAAATGTAGTTAACTGACTACATTTTTCTTTAAATTGCATAATACTGATAAAAATGTTTTGAAACTACCTTTCATGTAAGCATATTGTATCAGGTATTAATGTCTCAGTTACAGAAATTAGATATTTTAGTTTGTATTTGATATAATTAATGTTATTATTGGTCGCACCACATGATTGGTGGTCGCGCCAAATGACCTGAAGACCTTGTATCATTAAAAATCAATTTAAAGAGACCTATGAACAATTAATTTCATGCAAATTTTATATTAAAACCAAATTTTATTAACATTTCAAACATGAACGCGAACATTTTATTTCCCTTTTTTACAAAAATTTAACTCTGTGTGTGTTTGTGTATGTGGTCCAGAGGCCTGCACTTTGAAGCTGGATTAACACACCCAGGATAACTCTGCCACAACTCTCTAAACTTCACCAGATCTCCGTAACCCCAATCAGCTGTACTACGAGGCAGGATATCAACTCGCTAACTAAATTCAGTTGTGGTCAGTCTAGATCTGTGCGCGCACACGTAAAGGGGGTGGGGTCAGTGCCACCGGACCAATCTCCACAATGAAGAAGGCTGCACGTCATATTTCACAGCCGAGGAACAGAGCATCGTTTTACGCTAATACGAGGAGTACCGCAACATTATATCAGTGAGGAGCAGGACAGCTGCAGCCGCTAAAAGCCGGAGGGACTGCTGGCAAAAAAAATCATCGATCGTGTAAATTACATTTGTGCGTTCATAAATTTATGGCCCCCTAATATGTTGTCATGCAGCGTGTGTGATTACCTCCATCATTGACCTCATTATTTCAGATACAACAGCAGTGGGGAAAAGAGTAAGTGGGAGCAAATAAAAATAAATCTAAAAATATCCGTCAAAGTGGTTAGCTGGTTTACTGGAGGATTTTATTTGTACATATTTCAACGCGTTAACAGTGATTTCCTCACACTGCCTATTTTTCTTTTTTCTCCATCATCTGATGGTCACATGTCATCTGCAGACACATTTGGGGTTAAGAGGAGTTTTCTAATCTGCTTCAATAAATTCTGAATGATGACTGATATGCCGCATGAAACTTGAACCTGGAGCTTGGCAAATATTAGTGTATTGCTTCCATTTCATGTTACCTGACTATTGAGGCCGTCTGAGGAAAACCTGTAACGTTCATAGAGAACGGCATCAGGTAAATCAAACGAATTTGAACGATCAAGAATATAACGCTCTCGGCGAAGCGCTCCTCTCACCATCCGCGCAGCGATGTCAACAATCTTGGCCCAATCTTTGACCAGCCCAGGCATGAACAACATGCTGCAGGGTCAGAGTTGACACGCTGCCTATAGCGAGGGCTTTTAACTTTGCTCGGCAGTGGCATCTGGTAAAATAAATTAAAATGACTTAAATTGATACATGAAAGTTAATAAATTGCTAACAACGGCATAAATACCTTAAGTGAAATGGCATGCTTTTAATATTTTTTTTCTTATTTTGTACAGAGATGACCTATTCATTATTTCAGAAATGTTAGCAAAATGACTCATCAAATAACAAAAAAAATTCAAAATAATACAAAAAATTAAGTACTTAGTGTTTATCAATCATCAATTGAATATAAAAAGCATAAATACTGCCAATCGAGGGCATATATTTATGATGGAAAACAATCTGCAGTGGTCGCACCACATGATAATTGGTCGCACCGCATGACATTTCAAATTCGGTCAAATCTTACTGATACAGGATTAGTCACATAAACAAAGCTCACTAGCTTCCCACAAAAGGTCACTATGAAATTTATAATCAAAATACTTATTTGTGGAAATAACTTAAATTAATTGTTTTTTTTAGGTCATACCACATGACATCGAAAAGTGGTAACACCATTACAGCAGTTGAAAAGGTCTTTTTTTTTTTTTTTTTAAGAAATGAGAGAACCACCAACCCGCTTTCTGCTTCCATAGCTCTACGACAAAATGGTGAATGATCCAACTTCCTGTCCTTGAGTAAATTTCAGCATAAAAGTGTCAAAAATTGTCATTTTTTGATGGTCGCACCACATGATATTTAATGAAATGGACACGATCGGACAAAATTCGTTTGTATATTATGAAAAAAAAATAAATGCAAAAGCTTTGCAATTTTGTACAGGAATAAAAAACACTTTCAAAATTATGCCGAATATTGCAGAAACTAAATTGTAATAGATTTAGAGTAATTTCAAAGAAGTTTTCAAAACATAAGTCATGGCCGGATGGTCGCACCACATGATATTTTGACCCTTTGAAGTTCAGAAAAATTACAAAAAACTCCTGATTTTTGAAAAGTTGAAGTGGCTCCATATATTAGAGAGATACATCAAATAGATAGTATATTTTTTTTTACATTTAAAACTCTTTGTAACATAAAGAAAATACAGCCGGACAGAATATTGAGGCGTCACGTCATTGACCCTAAAACTGATTAAAACTTTTCCTGTTTCCTCAGATTTATCAGGTTATAATCTGGTTACATTTTTTTTCATCAGATCATCAAATAATAGTTACTAATGGTCACTAATTATTAATGATATATTGATTATAACCTGAGGGTGGCCTGATGATAAACTCATTATGATCTCATAATTTCCTAGAAATGGCCTGATTATTGTTATTGATTTTAATTTGCTCATAGTCAGATTATCACCTTTTCTTGTCTTAATATTACAAAGTTATTACCCTTTGTCACTACATTATAATCTTATATAACTATTACTGGTTACTTTGTGATTTGTTTTTAAATGATTAAAATACCCGAGAATGACCTGAAATTATGTGGAAACTACCAGATTATAAAACACACAACACTTGGTTATTACCTGCTCATCATCTTGTTATTACTTAATTGTTAATCAGCTATTAACTAACTTGATTATCTTTTGATAGTTACCTGATTTTAGCCTGATTGTTGCCTCATCATGATCATTTCCTGGTTATCACCTGATTATTTCTTAATAGTCATTCAGTCCTCGGTCAGGAACTCACTTTGCTCTTCTGCTTCATTTGTGTGTGTGTGTGTGTGTGTGTGTGTGTGTGTGTGTGTGTGTGTAGATTTGGTGGCTGGATTCGGAGCTGACTTGTGGTCAGACTCGTCCTCTAGTCTTCACTCAGGGTCACTCGGTGTGTAACCGCTCGTTGTTCCCCTGCTTCGACACACCGGCTGTGAAGAGCACATACACAGCTACAGTCAGGGTGAGTGATGACCTCTGATTTCTGAACTCTGCTCTGGTCACTGAGGTCCATATATATATATATATATATTTATATATAAACACTAGCACACTGTTAACCAATGGAGACTGTCCTCGCATGGCGCCCATCTTACCACAGGCAGCTCGCCCACTCATAACATCAGAGTCTACAGTACATGTAGCATTTAAATAACCATAGATTGCTTAATTTTACATTTATTTTTAAACAGTTTGGTTTGTTTTAAACCTCAGAGTTCCTGCATTCTCAAGAATAATTTTTCCATGGACTTTCATAAATAAACATTAAGCAGATAGGTAGAGCAAAAGCTATAGGCCTACACAAACAAGGTAGTTTTATTAAATCATTTACATATAAAACATTTAATCATTCCATGTATGTTATACTAGTAATATTTCTATTATAATGATAACTGTAAAAACACACAACATTATGTATTTATTTTTAATATAAATATCTGTCTCATGATGCCTTTTTGTATATACATTCTGTGAGATATATATATGAAATTTCACCCTCACCCACCCTTGTGTCTCTTCAAGCTCGGGTCCTCTACCAGAGGCCTGGGTTTGAGGGTCCTGCCCAGTATCTTAGCTATTCTTAGGACTGCACTCTTCTGGAGTGAGATGTCTGATGTTTCCCCAGGGATCTGTTGGAGCCACTTCTCCAGTGTGGGGGTTACTGTCCTGAGTGCCCCGATGACCACAAGCACCAGCGTTGCCTTCTCCTTCCAGGCTTTCTCTAGCTCCTCTCGGTGCCCTTGATACTTCTCTAGTTTCCAGTGTTCATTCTTCCTGATGTTGGCATCAGTCCCACAGGATCTTGGCTCGGTCATTCTCCATTACCCTGGGAGGTGCTTCCCATTTTGACCTCGGGGTTTCCAGTCCCTATTCTGCACAGATGTTCCTGTACACTATACCGGCTACTTGGTTATGGCATTTCATGTATGCTTTTCCGCTGTTAGCGGTTGGACTGTTTCAGAGCCCTCTTTGCACAGCCTGCACCTGGGATCTTGCCTGGTATGGTAGATCTGGGCCGCTATTGCTCTGGTGCTCAAGGCCTGTTCTTGTGCTGCCATGATTAGTGCCTCTGTGCTATCCTTCAGTCCAGCCCTCTCCAGCCATTGGTAGGATTTGCTCTTATCAGCCACCTCAGCTATTTATCAGTGGTACATCCCTTGCAGGGGTTTTTCCTCCCATGATGGCTCCTCCAGTTCCTCCTTCCCTGTCAGTTTCCATTGTCTGACACACTCACTAAGCACTCCATGTCTTGGGGTCGTTCCCTCGGTACTCCTTTTATTTTCCATATTCACAAACAACTTAATCTCAAATAAATCTACTATGGTTGTGTATGCAGATGATGCCACTATGTACAGTGCTGCATCCAGTCTTAAGGAGTTAAACAATACATTAAATATTGAACTGAAAGCTGTAGCTGATTGGGTTGCTGAGAGCAAACTAGTGCTGAACATAGCCAAAACATAATGCATGGTTTTAGGATCCAGACATATGCTAGTCTGTGATCCTCAACTGAGCCTGTCACTTGCCGAAAAGCAAGTGGAACAGGTAAGAAAAGCTAAGCTGCCTGGCATCATATTAGACCCTAAACTAAATTGGACTAAACACATAGATACTATTGTGACAGAAATTGGAAGGAGCATTGCTAGAACTAGAAAATGTTCAAAGTACAAAAAGAGAAATACTCTGAAAGAAGTGACACAAGCTTTAGTCCTGTCACACCTTGAGTACTGCCCTGCCATTTGGTCATCTGCTCCCCATTTTTCTCCCATGACGTACTTCACCCAAACAAACTGGGCCATTACACACTTGCCACTAATATCCAACACTATGTGCACACCAACTGACTAGCATTGTTTACACCCTCCCTGCCATCTTCTTCCTCGCCTACCACTACCCCACCTGGAAACAGCGCCCCCCAGAGTCCCCCCTCTGGTACTGCACACCATTCCCATCGCCACCACTACAGCAAGCTCCCCCTCCCAGCCCAAACAGTTACTACACCCTCCAACTACAGAGTCTCTTTGCCATTCTGCCATCTCACCAGGATCCCGCCACAGGTTCTTCATTCAAACAATTACAACTACTGGATCGTCCCACTCAAATCCCATGCATACAAAACGAAGGACAAGGGCTGTGTCCCATTTCAGAGACCGCACCGTTGAACGGCACATAACGGCACATAACGGCGCATTTGAAGCGTGCATGATGTCATCACGCAGCGCGAATGGTGTCCCATTTGGCACGAAATGCTAAGCACGCTTAGCATTTTTCAAGACTTGTTAAAATTAGGGCCATGAAGCATTTGAAGGAACTGTGCTTCAGTATAGGTTTCACAAACAAGGAGATACTTCATCCTCTGGCACATCAGCATCACATTGTCATAAGTATAAAGACTTAAAAAAAGAATATACGAGAAATACGTCTTTTCCATGGGGAAAAAAACTGGTGTACTTGAAGGAAATCGCTGCTTTTGTGGAGGCAGAAATGAATATGCTGAGGATATATCCGTTTATGCAGCCGTAAATATCCGTGAATGACATTGAGCTTTAGTTTATGACATGAATCCATATGCCATAATAAGGTGTTGGTGTCTCTGCAGGTGTAGGCTACCGCCGGTGTCAAAGACGTGGTGCTCGTCGGAGCTCGACTCCCTCTGGATCACAAATGTTGATCATCATCAGTTTGATTGTTTCTTCAGAAACCACAAAATCTCTCTGAATGACCCGCTGATACATCCACAGATAACCCTGCAGATGACCAGCTTCAGTCATTTCCCCCTCCACAAAAGCAGCTTTATGACTTTATTTACTTTATGACTTTATTCTCTTAAATTTACAACTTAAATCTCTAAATCTTAAAAGAAAAAAAAACCTCAATGTTGTCCTGATCCTCTGCTGTAGTTTTGTCAGCTTTCTTATTTCTAATGTTTTTGATTGTTGTAGCAGAGCGGATCAGTTGTCTCTAAATCTAAAATGTTTGGTTTGCAGATTTTAGTGAGTTCAGAGATCATGCGCTCATACAGCCTGAGCTGACTGTCTACAGAACATGCAAGAAATCCAAAAACGGCAAAGACGCGCTGTGCCTCCAAGCGAGTCCAGCCTCTCACCTGAAATGCGCAGCTGTGCAGCGGCATGCAAAGAATTCTGGGATAACAACGGCACGAAAGCATGCATAAATGCACGCTTGAAAAAGGGGTGGGGGCAGTGTGGTTTTGAGACCGAATTTGAAGCACGCTTAGCATTTTGTGCCAAACGGGACACCGTTCGTGCCGCCTGATGACCTTCAAACGCACGCTTCAAATGCGCTGTTCGACGGTTGCGGTCTCTGAAATGGGACACAGGAAGGGTACATAACGGCACAAAACGGCAGTGTGCTCAGCTAAGCGCGCTTATCCCGATGCGGTCTCTGAAATGAGACACAGCCAAGAAATCAAACAAACCTCTGCTGCCTTCCTCTTGCCTCACTTCCCACCCCACAGCCCCCTCCCCGGAAGATGGCCCTTCAAAACACCCGCTCCCTCAACAACAAAGGACACATCCTGGCTGACTTCTTAACAGACAACAACCTGGACTTCCTCTGCCTCACTGAAACCTGGCACAACCATCTCGACCTCTTTCCACTCAACCAAGCCACGCCCCCCGGTTACTCCTACCTGCACCAACCCCGCCTCACTGGATGAGGCGATGGCGTAGCATTTATCCACAAACAGACCCTCAAGACCACCCCCATCCCCACCCCGTCTGTTCACTCATTTGAAAATATTTCCGTCAGACTCCCCGGCCCCACCCCTCTGGTCATTGTCACCATCTACCGCCCTCCAAAGCTCCACCCATCATTCCTCTCTGATTTCTCTGACTTTGTCACCCACCTAAGTACCATCTCATCCTCTGTCCTGCTGCTTGGAGACTTCAATTTTCACATCGACAACCCCACCTGCAAACAAGCCTCAGATTTCCTGGTTCTACTCAACCTCACCCAGCATGTACACTCCCCCACCCACTCCCACGGCCACACCCTCGACCTCGTCTGCTCCACCGGCATCTCCATCCACCATCAACCTCTACATATCTGACCACCTGGCTGTCACTTTCAGCGTTGAACCCCCCCCCCCCACAGCCTCAGGACCTCTCTGCTTCCCATATTTGCCACCCTCACTGCATCCCCTCCCCTCCAACTACTACAATAACACTATCCTCCCGCCTGGACCAGTTCGCACCCCTCAAAACAAGAACAGTTTCTACCACAAAACCGTCTCACCGTCCATCTCCAAGCCTACACCGACCATCTCCACCTGTACAGAACAGCCCTCAACTCCGCCCACTCTTCCTTTTACTCCAAACTCATCCACTCTGGCTCCAGTACCCAAAAGGCTCTTTTCTCCACAGTCAATATACTGCTCCACCCCATAGACAGCATCTCCGTCACCTTCACCCGGAAAAGTGCAACTCATTCCTCTCCTCTTTTCAATCCAAAATCAACACAATCTACAACTCCCTTCCCCCACCCTCCATTCCCTGCTCCTCCCCCGCTCCCCTCATCCCATCAGCACTCTCCCGCTTCTCACCTGTTTCACCGACGTGACCAACATCATCTGCTCCATGTCATCATCCACCTGCATCCTGGATCCCATCCCATCCTCCCTCATCAAGCACTGCCTCCCCGTCATCTCTCCCATCATCACACAGATCATCAACTCCTCCCGCTACTGTTCCCCCTTCACTCAAACTGGCCGCTGTCACCCCCATCCTCAAAAAACCTGGACTCAACCCTGACGACATCAGTAACTTCCGGCCCATCTCCAACCTCCCTTTCCTGTCAAAAATCCTTGAACGTGTCATTGCATCACAAATCAAAGCCCACCTCAACAATAACAATCTTTACGAACAGTTTCAATCAGGATTCCGCACCCACCACAGCACCAAAACTGCCCTCATTAAAGTCACAAACGACCTCCTCATTTCTGCTGACTCCGGCCAACTCTCCATCCTCATCCTCCTTGACCTCTCCGCCGCTTTTGACACCATCAACCACGCCATCCTCCTGTCCCGCCTACACTCCCTCCTCAATATCACAGACACCGCTCTCAAGTGGATCCACTCATATCTCACAGACCGGAATCACTTCATCCACATCAACAACTGCTCCTCCACAACTGCCCCAGTGCCCCAAGGTGTCCCCTAGGATTCGGTGCTTGGTCCCCTCCTCTTCATCATCTACCTCCTCCCTCTTGGCCACATCCTCCGTCAACACAATCTCCACTTCCACTGCTATGCTGATGACATTCAATTGTACATCTCTTCCACCTCCATCATCCCCCTAACCCAATGCTCCCTCTCAAACTGCCTCTCTGATATCAAACACTGGATGGACAGCAACCTTCTCAAGCTCAACTACGACAAAACAGATCTCCTCATCATCGGCCCAAAATCCCTCACCTCCACAATCACAGACTTTCATCTCTCCATTGACAACTCCATCCTCTCCCCCTCCCCCCACTGTCGCAACCTTGGTATTCTCTTTGACAGCAACCTCTCCTTCACCCACCACATCAAGCAAATCACCAAAACAGCCTACTACCACCTCAAAAACATTGCCCGCCTCCGCCCCTCCCTCTCCTACTCTGCAGCTGAAACCCTCATACATGCATTCATTTTATCCCATCCAGACTATTGTAACAGTCTCCTCCATGGCAATACCTCCACTCTCCTCAATAAACTTCAGCTCATCCAAAACTCTGCCGCCCGCCTCCTCACCCATACACGCTCCCACCAACACATCACCTCCGTCCTCCAGAACCTTTACTGGCTCCCTAATCCTCCTTCTCACCCACAAAGCACTCCACAACCAGGCCCCCCCCACCTGCAAGATCTTCTCCACCCCTACATCCTCCCCCACACCCTTCGCCCCGCCGACGCAACCTCCTCACAGTCCTCTGTCCCCCCCGAACCTGGGGAGACAGAGCCCTCTCAGTCGCCGCCCCCACCCTCTGGAACTCACTCCCACTTGACCTCACTTACCTGATTTTACTTGATTTTATTTGATATTGATGTATATTTTATTGTATATTGTTGTATGTTTTATTGCTCTTGCTTTTATTCATGTACAGCGTCTTTGAGTTCGTGAAAAGCGCTTTACAAATAAAATGTATTATTATTATTATTATTGTTAACACTTGACGAGATTAAGCCTGTAGTAATCCACAGAGGCACAAAACTCATGTATAGTACGTGATTCTGTCTTATTTCAAATGGATTCCTTCTGTTATTCACTTGTAACACCTTTTTTTCTTATTTTTATTTGATTATTTTGTAGATAAGTAATTGTAAAATCGTTAAACGAATGTTTATGTAATGTTTTTATTTTCTGTGTTGGACCCCAGGAAGAGTAGCTTTGTCCTGACAAAAGCTAATGAGGACCAATAACGATAAACAATAAACAATACCATTGAGCCAGAATGGTATACTTTGGAACATGGCCGTCATGTAGGGACACCAGTGACTCCGCCTTGAGCCATGTAGCCTTTCTTACAGATATTTATGACGGAGGTCACTGTCTCAGTCTGAACATGAATAACAACATGAATTAGAAAACAGGATCTTAACACATGAGACACACCCACATGCACACACTAATTGGAGCCCCCTCCCCTCCTCTTCTGCAGGTCCCAGACGGGGTGACTGTTCTGATGAGTGCGTCCCGGAGCTCATACTCCAAACAGGACCGGGTCTTCCAGTTCTCCATGGAGTTCCCGGTCCCATCCTACCTGGTGGCATTAGTGGCGGGGGAGCTGCAGCACGTGGACGTGGGGCCACGGTGTGTCCTGATTTTGTTACTGATCATTCTGACAGTAGAGGCAATTGTTCTGTATTTGATAATATTTACTTCAGTACCTGCAGAGTATTTTGAAATTCCTGTGTGTGCTTTAATTTCTTTTTGTTTTTTTGTACATGAGATTAAAAGTATTTTTTGTTTATTTTTAGAAGTATTTGTCGTATCATTTATCCTTTACTTGGAACCTCATTCACAGTTTATTTTTGTGTTTTTCTGTGTAATACTTCCATAATGGGAAGTATTTTTTAACCTCATATGCAGTACTTTTTCTACTTCATCAGTAGAATTATGTAACTTTATAAAAAGTTTATTTTTAATCTTTTGTGCAGTGTTTTAAAACTTAATTGTGGTATTTGTTTCACCGTATTTGTAGAATTTGTGAGCTAAATAGAAATGTTGCGTGAAGTATTTGAAGTTGTATGAATAGTGTTTGAAACCTTATTTGCTGTGTTGTTGCAAATTGTAGTATATTTAATTCTATTTGTAGTTTTTCATTCTTCTTTAGCAGTATTTTTTTAACCTTCTGGTTACCTTTGACCATTATTTGTAGTCCTTTTATGTGCAGTATTTCTGACCTGTTATGTCGTGTTTTTAACCCTACAGCTGTATTTTTACTTTAAAGTATTTTTATCCTTATATTTACTTAGTGTGTAATACTTCTTATCATTATGTATATTTTTTCCATTAATGTAGTATTCTAAACCCAATATTCAGTATTTTAAACCTTGTTTGTAGTTTTTTTTTACTTTATAAGTAGTATTTTTATACTTGTGTGTATTTTGCTACATGATGTCTTTTTGTCTGTGCCTTCAGGAGTCGTGTGTGGGCAGAGCCATGTCTGCTGTCCTGTGCAGTGAAGAAGCTAGGGGGCAGTGTGGAGCGCTGGCTGGGTGTAGCTGAAGGGCTGTTTGGACCATACCTGTGGGGCAGGTGAGCTCAGACCCAGCAGGTGTCTCTGTGATTTGATAACCAATAAAACTGAAGTACTGATCATAACTCCGCCCTCTCAGGTGTGACATTGTGTTCCTTCCCCCTTCCTTCCCCATCGTTGCCATGGAGAACCCCTGCCTCACCTTCATCATTGCCTCCATCTTGGAAAGCAGTGAGTTTCTGCTCATTGACGTCATCCATGAAATCGCCCACGGCTGGTTTGGCAACGCTGTCACCAATGCCACCTGGGAGGAGATGTGGCTGAGCGAAGGGCTTGCCACCTATGCCCAGCGCCGCATCACCACTGAGGCCTACGGTCAGAGTGCTACCAAATAAATACTACGACTAATACCCCAACCACTGTTACTTTGACTGCTGTGACCCAGGCCAGGGGCCAGTTTATACTGAGGCCTGTGGTCTGTTAGGTGAGTTATCAGACAGGTTTATCCCCCCCCCCTGCAGGTGAGGCGTTCACCTGTCTGGAAACTGCAGTGCGGTTGGACGCCCTGCACAGACAGCTGCGTCTCCTCGGGGACAACAACCCTGTGAGCAAACTGCAGGTCAAGTTTGAGCCAGGTAACAAGAGCACTTACACACTCTAGGTCTATGTACTATGAGACCACTCCTCCAGGTCAGTGACATCACTGTTCTCTGTCACCTGTCCAGGTGTGAACCCCAGCACCCTGATGAACCTGTTCACCTATGAGAAAGGTTTTTGCTTCGTCTCCTACCTGTCACAGCTCAGTGGGGACGTCAGACGCTTTGACTGTTTTCTCAGGGTCAGAACAAACAAACACACACACACACACACACACACACACACACTACTGCATCCAATTAAGCTGCAGGTGAAACACAACATACATGACACATATAAAGATCCACAAAGCTACAGTCCTCTACATCTCCAGACTATGGATCAAATGTCTGACAACCAAATTTAACATCCCCGGCTCCATCAGAGTATCGACACTACAGTAAGTGATGATAAAAACAGACTCTGATCATTTTGAATACATAAGGAATCTGATTATTTTAAATTAGATTTTTGTAAAAAGTTGTTACAGAGGGAAAATCAAACAAGTAAAAAGTAGTTGTAGGATAAAAGCATAAAAAGGGAGCTCCCTGACATTAAGATTAAAAAGGCCCTATAAACTTGTCAGTGTTAGAAAGTGAGGATAAATGAGAGAGTGTGGTAGTTATGGCGATGAGTAAGATTAGAGGAAATTATAGAAGGTTGAGTAAAAACGCAAATTTGAACCTCGAGCAAGATAACAAGCCAGTAAAGCTAACGTGCAGGACAGCCAAACTAGCAAGAGCCAACATAGCTACCTGAAGAGCTAGCGGAGTCAACAGGTGATACAGTGACAACCAAGCAAGTGAAGTGACCACTTCAAGAGGGGAAAGAAACACAACCATCTGCTAAAACTATGGCAGACCTGGATATAGTCTTGCAGGGGATAAGGGAGTTTGGTGGGGAAAACTTTCAAAACCTGGAAGAAATCAAAGATGACATTAAGAAGACAAACAGCAGAATAGATTATGCTAAAAAGTGAATCTTGAAAACAGAGGAGCGTACTCAGAACCTAGAGGAAGCTACGTTGGAGCTTATGAAGTTGCAGAAGCAGGTGGACACCAGAATGACAGACTTGGGATGTAGGAGGATGGAGAATGTCCAGATCCATGAGGTAAAGGAGGAAGCGGAAGGTGATTAGGAAAACTGAGGCGAAAAACATGACTTTTGTGTTGTTTTTGTTGAGACTGCAGAATTTATACGGGTTTTTAGTTAAAAGGTGCCTCACAAGGTAAATACGTCAGGGCAGCACTTAAAGCTGTTGTGGACTTATGAACTATGCTGAAACGGGCAGCCAGGGGCCCCTGCCCCTAGGGCGCATAGGTTATCCCTCAGAGCTAAATGAACATCAGAGTTCAGAAAAGGTCTATAAAAAGACCTCATGTAAGGAAGTTTGTTTAGTATCTTGTTTGAAGATATTTATGTTACACTTTTGTCACATGTTGTTCAGTGTTCATTATTGTTTTTTTGTAGCAAAAGGGGGAAATGTGAAGGAGAGGATAGGAGAGAGAAACAAGACAAGAGAATGCAGATCAACGACTACATCCAAAAACTGCATTAAAGTAGCCTCAATAATGTAAGTGGTGTACTCAACCCAACCAAAAGGAGTAAGATAGTGTCAGAGATGGAAAAAGACGGGGTTGGGTTGATATTTTTACAGGAGACCCACCTAACAGAGAGGGAACAGCCAAACCCTAAGAGAAATGGTTACAGCCAAATATTTTCTGCCTCCTACAAAACAGCACACTAGAGAAGGGTGGCTATTTTAATGTCAGGGAAGAACTCATTTAAAAAAATTGTTGGTGACAGGGGACAAATAGGGTAGGTATATCATGGTCAAGGGGAAACTAGAAGGTTAGGCAGTGACTTTACTCAACATCTATGCTCCCCCAGACTCAGATTGGAGGTTCTACAGACAGATGTTTGATTCGATAACATCAGAGGCAAAAGGTATTTTGATTGCTGGAGGTGATCTGAACCAAAGGCTTAACTCAGAGCTAGACTCCTCAGGAGGTGGAATACAAAACAGTGCTGTTAGTAAAAAAAAAATTGATTATTTCTTGATGTATGATTAAGATAGGTATAGGGTAAAAAGATGCGACATAGGAGTAATGGACCTATCAGATCCCAGCCCTCTTTATCTAACAGTACGTCTGGTGAGTGAGGAAAAAGCAACAATCTGGAGGTTGAACTCAAATATATTAAAAGGACACATGAAGGAGGAAATAGTGAAGGAACTCAAGACTTACATAGAGAATGATGATAGTATAAGGCCGTGATGAGAGGACAGATAATAGCCAAATCAGCGTATTCACGAAGATAAGACTGTTAAGACTTGACACAATAAAATCTGATCTGAAAAAGCTAGAAAGAACACACAAATAAGATAATATAAGAGCAACTTTATTTATTACCAAGGGGAAATTTAATAATTAAAATAAAATAAAATCAGGAAATAAAGACAAGAGCAGAGATAAATGTATATGCAGTAGATAAAAAAAAATACTGTTCACTAAATAAAGATATTATGTAGTGGGGGCAAATCAACAAAATTGCTGGCATATAAACTTAAAAAACAGCAGGCAAAAAACAATATTTTTGGGATAAGGGACTCACATACAAGATGACAGTGGACAATATAGGGGAAATTCAAAGTGCTTTTAAACTTATAAAAATCTATACACTCAAATGAAAGCTAGTAATAAAACCTGGATGGATCCATTTTTAGAGAACTTCAGTTTACTAAGATTAACAGAAGAACAGAGTCAGACTTTGTTTTTGCAGAAAACAGATGAGGAAATAAGTAAGGCAATCTCAAATCTTAAAGCTGGCAAGTCCCCAGGTGCAGATGTATACTCTGCAGAATGGTATTGATCACTTAAGGCAACATGAATCATTAAACTTGTGCCATCCTGAGGGCATTTTACAAAACTGGCCCATGACCGGTCCGGTTTTCTGGACTGCACATTTTGACAATGCTGTTAATACTATTCTTCTCCTTTACTGACAGTCCATAAAACCAGCAAATAAAAGTAAAAGTTAAAAGAGTTTCAATATATGAATGATAAAAAACTACACAAAATGTTCTTAGAAACATTAAAAGAACTCAGCTTACGTGACAGGTATATCCTTTGTTGACCCCTTTTCACAATTGACTCTGAATTCATGTTAAATTTAAGTTTGGAATCAAACATACAGTAACTCACAAAAGTGAGTACACCCCTGACATTTCTGCAAATATTTAATTATACCTTTTCATGGGACAACACTGGAGAGATGACACTTTGATACAATTTACAGTTGTCAGTGTACAGCTTGTGTAACCGTGTAAATTTATTGTTTCCTCAAAATAACTCAACACACAGCCGTTAATGTGTACACCCCTGGCAACAACAGTTAGTACACCACTTAGTGAAAATGTCCAAATAAGGCCCAAAGTGTCAATATTTTGTGTGGCCACCATTATTTTCCAGCACTCTCTTGGGCATGGAGTTCACCAGAGCTTCACAGGTTGCCACTGAAATCTTCTTTCACTCCTCCATGATGACATCACAGAGCTGAGTGGATTTTAGAGACCTTATGCTCCTTTACCTACCCTTTGAGAATGCCCCACAGATCCTTAATAGAGTTTCGGTCTGGAGACCTTGCTTGGCCAGTCCCTCACCTTTACCCTCAGCTTCTTTAGCTGAGGGTAAAGGCAGTGGTTGTCTTGGAGGTGTGTCTGGGGTTGTATCATGTTGGAGTACTGCCCTGAATACTGCCCTGCAGCCCAGTTTCTTAAGGGAGGGGACAATGTTCTGCTTCAGTTTGTCACAGTACATGGTGGCATTCATAATTCCCTCAATGAACTGCAGCCCCGTAGTGCCAGCAGCACTCATGCAGCCCCAGACCGTGACACTCCCACCACCATGCATGTAGGCAGGACACACTTATCTTAGTACTCCTCACCTGGTTACCGCCACACACTATGGACACCATCTGAACCAAACAAGGTTGGTTTTCTTGGTCTCATCAGACCACAGGACATGGTTTCAGTAATCCACGTCTTTAGTCTGTTCGTCTTTAGCAAACTGTTTGATGTTTGATGCAGTGTGTGCCGTATGGTCTGAGCATTGACAGGCTAAGCCCCCCACCCCTTCAACCTCTGCAGCAATGCTGGCAGCACTCAAACATCTATTTTCCAAAGACAACCACTGGATATGACACTAAGCACATGCACTCAACTTCTTAGGACCACCATGGACCTAAGAAGGATCCCACGAAAAGATATAATTAAATATTTGCAGAAATGTGAAGGGTGTAGTCACTTTTGTGAGATACTGTAGTTTCTAGGTTTCTAGGTATTTATATGTTTCCACAATCTCAACATCATCTCCATGGATGCTGCTGGCTTAGGGTGATTCTTCCTGAAATTAATCACTTACACCTTAGTTTTGGTTATACAGGCCCTTTATAATACACTGAGTCTTTCAAAATTTAAGAATAAGAACATGGCTGTTGTCAGGGTTGCTCAGAGAGTCCTCTTCTTTTTGCCATTTTTCTGGAACCCTCAAGCTATTGAATAAAACAGAATAAAAATATAACAGGCACCCATGATAACCTTTACAGATTATGGTCACCTTTCAGGCTATAGAAAATAGACAAAAAACTCAGGTTATCACTTTAAACTATCGACCACGGCAAGCGATTAGGGACAAGTACAAGTTTAACTAGGAATCAGAATCAATAGAATATTTGGGAGTTAATCTACCTCAGGATTTAAGGCAATTAAATTCCATCAACTATGATCCGTTGCTCAATAGAATTAATATAGAATAAAGAATAGAATTTGATATTAAGCAGAGGGAATCTGATACCTTATATGGGCATTATGCTAAGAATGAAGGTGATAAAAATGTGTTGCAAAGGCTTCTGTACTTGTTTCAGAGTCTACTGGTGGAGGTAACACATCATGAGTTCAGGGAATGGGATATAATGATCTCTAGATATATCTAGCAGGGGCGGAGACCTACCTAAAAACAAAAGAGGACTCTTCAGGCACACCCCTCCCCACATCCGGGGGGGGGGGGGGGGGCACTTTTTGAGCGGAGCGTCATCGCTCCGAGTCTCCCGCCCAGCCAAAAACGTCTGCGTACAACGCTACTGCGCAGCTCTGGTTTCAAGAAAGTGGAGAAAAACACGGAATTACCAAGAGCTTTTTGGCTTCAAATCCGTATACAGGCGGAAGGCGGAACCAGGCTGTCCATCTTATATACAGTCTATGGTTTAAAGGCTAGCTGTATGAAATTTTGGCACTATTTTTTTTTTCTTATTTCCTTAATTCCAAAAGCCTGTGTACTGGAAGTGTTTAGAATAGGAGATTTGCATCACACTGACACCTGTTACCCTTGTGGCCACATGTGGCCAATTGACTCCCATTATAACCACATATTTGTCATACGCTATAATCCTAACATATTTCAATGCTTTTTCTATTTATACCTAATAGATCTAAGCTTTTATCTTCAAAATTTAGGGAAAATATGTTTTACGTGTAATGACCCCCTTAACAACCAGAGGCCATTACATAAAGTTTTGGGGAAATTTCAGTGAAGGCCTGGGTTTCTTACCTCGCAAAATGCATAGAAATAACAAAGCTAAACACCATAAAATGGCCTTGGTATATTAGCAGTGATATAAAATAGTGGTTTGAATATGAATGAGGAAAAAAAAATATCAACAGAGCCCTTTTGACCTGGGATTTTTGATTTTCCTCTAAAGGGTCCATCTGTAAGGGAATAATCAGCCCTCCGGACTCTCAGATGAATCCTCTAAATTCACCTCAGAAACATGCTTCTCATTCTCCTCAGAGTACTGCAAGATACACACACACACACACACACACACACACACACACACACACACACACACACACACACACAGATTCAGTTTTTACGCACCTGCAAAAACATGCTATTTACATATTCGACAGGAATGCAGAGGCTTCCTTTTGCCCAAGAAAAAATTAAATTTCAAACATAACTTGGCTGGTCATTTCTCCAAAAGACGACCATGAAGCGCCATCTAAACCTGAAGCAGGCAGTTGCTGCATGTGTACAGTCCCCTGAGGGGAGTGAGGTGACTGCTTCTGAGGAGAACATGAGCAGTGAAGATTCACCTTGGAGCCAGGACAGGGACGTGCACATGATTATACAGGGGCAGGGGCTAAAATTTTTTTCCAGTCCGTTATACTATATGGAAATTAATGTAAAATTAAAAAACAAAGTACTAATAGAAAGCTAACGACTGTCCTGTGTAGGTGAAAGTGATATGCAATTGCCATTTCTTTTGTGTCAACAAACTATTGTCAACATGACATGATCAAGATAGTAACATTTCAAACACAGATTACCTACATGCTGAAATTACTATCTATCTATCTATCTATCTATCTATCTATCTATCTATCTATCTATCTATCTATCTATCTATCTATCTACTTTGTTTCCGACCCAATAAGTCCATGTCATACAAAAAGATTATCATTATTATTATTATTGTTCTTATTATAATTATTATAATTATAATTATTATTATTAATTTGTTAGCCCACACAACAGTAGCAAAGTCACAATAAACTTTGTATCTAAACCTGGAACCTGTACTTCAGACCTGTAGTGAGGAAAATGTGATCCTCCATAAACACGATGCATTCTGTTTTGACAATAAACCTAGTGTTTTATTTTCTATTTTGTACAGGATTTCCTGTCTGACATGATCTGCTCTGTGCTGACTTGATGCACCGTGCTCTCTCTCTGGTGGCTCTGTGACAGAGTGGAGCCACCAGAGACAGAGAAGTGGCAGGTTCATCTCACACAAAAACCTGTATTACAAGAAAATGGGTAAGGTAGAATACCGTGGAGTTTTTATACCACCGTTTTGTTTTGTTTTTACATCCCTAACAGGAATTAATTAATGTTATAAAAAAAAAAAAAAGAGGGCACCTTTTAATACAGGGCATAAAGGGCAGGGGCTCAAGCACCCCTAGGGCTCTATGTGTGTGCATGAGCCAGGAGGATTCAGGACAGGGATAATGCAATTTGAGAATGGGAAACAAAGAGGAGAAGGAGAAGTTTGAATCTCTCATGTGCCAAAAATTATTATGCATTAAAATCAATATCTTGATCAAAAATCTTTATCAAAAATATTTCACTTTGCATCTCATTTCTGGAAATATTACATATTTTGTGTTTTTCCCATAAAAAAAATCAGGGGTTCTCACGACAAAAGGCACTAAAAACCTAAAAAAATATAAAAACATTATAATAAACTTTATATCTATGGATAGGTCTGGAGTTGTTGACAAGATATAATGCTTTAAAGTAAAAAAAAAAATTATGAATGTATAATGTTTTTACTGCACTTTTATTAGACCGGCCACTTGTGGCCACAAGGTTAATAAGTGATAGTTTATACTGAAAACTGTCATCATGCAAAAAATAATTATGCATTAAAATCAATATTTTTATCAATTATTGACATGGTCAGGGCTGTTATGTCTTTATCAAAAATCTTTGCCCCTCATTTCTGGAAATATTGCATATTTTGTGTTTGTTCCATTAAAAAAATCAGGGGCTCTTAAGACAAAAGACACTAAAAACTAAGGCTGCACGATATTGGAAAAAACTAACATTGCGATTTTTTTCAACCCTGCGATATATACTGCGATATTAAAAAATACAGGAATTTTCACCAGATGACCTGAATAGCACTTTATGTTGTGCTGCACTGCTGAAATCTTGAGGACAGTTAACCTGCACTGATCTTACCTCTTTTTGTGAATGTTAGTAGAATGGCTTCTGTCTGTCTAAGAGATATTTTTAGCTTTTATTGTTCTGGGACGTTATTGTGGAAACAGATGAACACAGAAGACGTGTTTTGGTCGACATTATCCATCTTGTAACCGAAATAATTCCAGATAACTGACTTTCCTTTTCTTTTTGGCAACAAGTCATCTTCCTTGGTTTTCTCTGTGTGTTGCTCAGTTTGCGATCGTTGTTGTTGTTATTAACGGGGTTGTGCTGAGAAACGCATGTCCTCTGAGAATTGCATGCACCTCACAAAACGCGCACTGCTTATAGTAGAGTGGTCCACGGAAATGTACAATTTAAAACCCATACAGTTCTTATTTGTTGGGCTAAACAGTGATGAAGAATGTTCCGAAAGTAATTCTCAGCGGACAAGCGTTTCTCGGCTCAACTCCGGTAGCGCCAGCGACTCCCTCCATGTGCAGAGGTGGGTTTCCTCCTCTCTGATTTTGATTGACAGCTGGCAGGGTAGTCTGATTGGCAACTGAGAACTGAGTCTGATTGGCAACTGAGTAAAGAACGAAGGTGATTGGTGGATCGCTGCACAGCACATGCAGAGTCACATGCGGTGTATCTCAGTCATTTACCCTTGAAATTAACTGAGTTCATTCACCTCCGACATCGCAGGCTCTGCGATGTGACTAGACCGGCCACTTGTGGCCACAAGGGTAACGGGTGTCAGTAAATTGTAAGGGGTGCACAAGGGTTAAGGAAGATACTAACCCATGATTGGCTTTGTCATTCAAGCTTTGGTTTGCATTAATCACAAAAAATGATTTGAGAAGACAAAGTGGATTATTAAAATGTATTGGATATTCTGAATTCATTCCAACAGTTCAACAGAACAGATAAGGATTTTGGGAAACCCTGGGAAAAATTGGGGACCTTTGCTATTCTGGGAGCTTTTAGGAAAGAAGATGAAAAGTTTTAAAGAGATAAAAGACCAATTTAGTCTGACAAATCAGGATCAATACAGGTACTTGAAATTAATGTATTATTTAGCGCAAACACTAAAGGGAACAATAAGAGGGGAGGGTTAGCAGTTAGCAAAGCTCGGTAAAAAGCTCATTTTAAAACTATATAAGGGGGTGGAAGACTTACAGGGGATGACATGGTGTATATTAAAGGGAGATGGGAGAGGGAGGCAAATATTGTCATATCAGTGGATGAATGGAAAGAGATAAACGAATAGCAGTGGAGAACAACCTAGTCCCTAACACTGTAACACTGTATCACACACTATAATCCAGACTGTTTACTTGCTGAGACACACACAGAGACTGTTTTAGTAATTTAGATCCAAACTATGAACAAACACTGTCTAAACATGACCACTCCTCTGGCACACAAGGTGCTTCAGGTACTGTACCTGAGTCTGATCACCTGTGTGATTGTGTGTGTGTGTGTGTGTGTGTGTGTGTGTGTGTGTGTGTGTGTGTGTGTGTGTGTGTGTGTGTGTTTACAGGATTACATCTCAGAGTTTAAGTTTAAGAGCGTGCTGGCTCAGGACCTCATCAACTACTTCCTGTGTTATTTCCCTGAGCTGAAGGATGCTGCTGTCGCTAACAGAGAGGGTGAGAAGGGGAGGGAGGGGGTGATGGTGGGGGTTCAGTCTGGGGAATAATCCTTCAGAGATGTTTGACTTTAGCACTAATAACACTCGGATACTATGGGGTCAAAGATCACTCTTGCAGTATCTTTACTCAGGTGTGCTGCTGGTGTCAAAGGTAAACACACTGACAGTGAGTCTCTCAGACTGACACAAAAGCGTAACATCACTGTTATGTCATCAGAACAGAGTTAATCTAGAGCGAGGGTTCTCAACCTTTTGCGGGCTGGGCCCCCTCAAAGGTGGTTCAATGCAGTTGAGCCCCCATTTCCTGAATTGTGTCTGCTCGAGTACTCAGCACACCCCCTAACACACTCGCACGGCACATCATCCTCATGTACGCCAGAGCCCAGAGTGACAGAGAAACGAGCCAGGAGACAGAGTGAGAGTGAGTGGTACTAAGTGGAGAAAATATGAACTAAAAAAAAATGTTTCAACCCAAACCCTGTTCTTTTAATCATAGTTTAAAAATTTAAGTTATTCAAAGAATTTAAGTTATTCAAAATTTTTATGTGAACTGTGTTTATCAAAATTTTACTGTTGCTAATGCATAATGTTATAAGAAATGTACAGGGTTTCCCTTACATGTAATCGTGGCGCACAGCCACAACAAAATAAAAGTGGCCACACTTTCAAATTGATAGTTTTTTTAACCTGGCGCTACCTGGGACTCAGCCAACCAAAATTATTTGTAATCTTACTTTTGAAATGTAATCCTACATGATCTGGTTTAGGAGTTGAATTGTGCATGCAATGAAGTTATTTCCTTGCACTTACACTCTTAAATTGATTTCTAATTGATTTTTATATAACTGATTTTTTTTTTTTAACTGTATACCTGTTGTGAAGCACATTGAGTCTGCCTTGTGCATGAAATGCGCTTTATAAATAAAGTTGAATTAAAATTGAATTTAATCGGTTTCAATACTATGTCGGTTTTTCAACTGTACAGTCTATGAATAAGGTCATGTGCAAGCCTGAAGTGAAGAGACCCATCCAATGTGGCAGCAATGCTGGATTACGCTCCAACAAGTAATGAGGCGTTTTACGTATACCCCCTAACCCCTGAGTTTAAATTACTGCTTTTTACAACAGGAGATAATGAATATTGAGCAGAAAAAGGTTGAAGTTATTGTTGGTTCAACCCTTCAACACAGTTCAGGTTTCTCATGTGGCCCTGTGTAAAAATTAATTGCCCACCCCTGAGGTAGGCTGTAATTGGTTGATAGTCCAAACGCTTGGGACTCTGCTACATCTCCTTTGTACTAATAGCCAGTGAGTCTGCACCCTCCCATGCCTCCCGTCCTGTGTTCACGCCCCCCTGAAGGGTGTTCACGACCCCCCCCCCCCCCCCCCAGGTGTGTGCAAAAGTCACCTGTGACTTCCTGTGTGTGTGTGTGTGTGTCTGTGTGTCTGTGTGTGTGTGTGGGGCAGGTCTGGAGTTTGAGCGCTGGCTAAGCGGCTGTGGACCCCCTCTCTATGAGCCTAACCTGTCAGCAGGGGGCGCTCTGACCCAGCCTGTTCAGGACCTGTGTGAGCTGTGGAGGTGCAGTGACCCCCCTGACCTTGAAACCCTGAGCCCTTTTGACCTGTTGACCTGGAGTACCTTCCAGATTGTCCTGTTCCTGGACCGGATGTTAGACCACGCCCCTCTGCCCCATGGTACAAATACTACATCACAAACACAAATATTACTGTAAACAATTACTGACACACCCCCTGGCCTCATGTTGTTATCACAGTACTTAAACTACACCTGGCTCCTGCCCGGTGGTACACACATTACAAATAGCAATGCAGGTACTTCTTTAGAGGGACTTACACTAACACTTACATACCCCCAGTGTTTGAGTACTAGTGCCTGCCCCTATGCCCATCTTTACCAGTACTTTAGCTGTAACAGCCTCAGGGCCAAGGGTGCTCATGTCCCACAAGTGTAGCCAATACTTTTCTAATTCCTACAGCAGTTATACCAACACACCTGTACTGTGACTACAGCTGTTATACTTACACACCTGTACTGTTATTACAGTAGTTATACTTACAGACCTGTACTGTTATTACAGCAGTTATACTAACACACCTGTACTGCAACCACTGCCATTATACTGACACAACTGTATTGTTATTACAGCAGTTAAACCATCACACCTGTACTGTTATTACAACAGTGATACTAACACACCTGTACTACGACGACAGCCGTTATACTTACACACCTGTACTGTTATTACAGCAGTCATACCAACACACCTGTCGTAGTACTACAGCTGTTATACTAACACACCTGTACTGTTACAACTGCTGTTATACTGTGTGTTTCTCTCATACCTTTGTGTCCCCCTTCTTTACCTGTGTCTTCCCCTCTATCTTTTACTTGTGTCTCAGGTGTGATGGAGTGTCTATCCTCCTGTTACTCGTCCCTCTTTGACTCTATGAATGCTGAGGTACAGATTCGCTGGCTGCAGATGGTTGTGAGGAACAATTTTTACCCTGATCTTCCCCGAGTCCGAGCTTTCCTCTACAAACATGTAAGACCCTGAACGCACCACGCCTCTGTTGCCTCTGCTGCTGAGGGTGTTCATACAGAGCTGCACTGGCCAAGGTCAGGCACATGTGTCAGTACAGGGTTAGAGAAGGTTACTGTTGAGGGGGGCACAAGTGTGATTCAAAAGCTGTTCAGTCAGAAATGTAACAGTCCGAGATGGTATTGTTACAGGTGTGCCAGGTAAGGCAGATGTGCTGTTACAGGTATAGTATGACAGGTGTCATGCAGAAGGTTCATTTAAAGGATGAGAAGTGTGATGGGGACGCAGGTGAGGTAAAATTTGTTCTTATGTGACAGTGGCTTAAAGTGGGTCAGATGTGCTGTTACATGTAAGTCAGGTGTGCCGTTACAGGTGAGTCAGATGAGTTAGATGTGCTTTTACAGGTGAGTCAGGCTGTTAGAGGTAAGTTAGATGAGTTAGATGTGCTGTTACAGGTGAGTCAGGTTTGATGTCCTGAGCAGCTTTTTTCTGCAGTCCTGCAGTCTGATTAAATTGTTCGAACTTTTCTTACCTGTTCAATGTCATCACACCTGTGGTTCTGGTGTCACATTAATTCCTCCCTCTCTGCAGACATCCAGGATGTATACAGTACCACTGTATGATGACCTGATTGCCGGGGTGATGAGGTGTGTTGCTGTGGAGATTTTTAACCAGACTCAGCACCGCATGCACCCAAACCTCCGACGGACCCTGCAGCAGATTGTGTTTCAGAATGCCACCACCTCAACCAATCAGAACACTCCTGCCCTATCCATCACCCCCCCCTCCCCCTCTGTTTCCCCCCAACCCCAGCCTGCTGCTACTGCAACCACCTCCTCTGTTGCTGGGACAACCCCCACCATCGCTTTGCGGGACGTCAATGTCTCTGCCTGAAGTCCGTCTGACCTGTCAGCTGATGGGGCTGTGATGGGTTGATGGCTAAAGGTGAAGGAGCTGAAAATGACAGCAGGGGTCTTTGTTCCTGAAGGGGTAATAGGGTGAACTGTTGCTATGGCGACGCATTTAGCTTACTCAGCTAAAGATGTTAAAGTTTGAACACTGTGAAGAGGAGACAAAAGGAGGTTCACTCCAGAGATTTTCAAAATAAAGGTCGTGACTTGGGGCTGCTGAAAGATGACTCATCATGTGACTCATGATGTATTTCATCATGTGACTGTAACTGTTTTAAAGGGTGACTGCTGAAGCTATGGTCAGAGGCTAAAACTGTAGCTGCCGGCCCTGAATCAGTCTGTCTGACAGATCTTTTCTCCTCAGTGCAATTTAACCTGCTGAAGTGAAAACTGTTTCTTTACTGTTCGTGTTGGTTTGACCCTAAATGCGTCATCATATCACTGTATTCATCACTTCCTGTTTTAGTTTGACACTGTGACCTCCACAGATTCATTTCTGCCTGCAGAATCTGAGTATTAAGATCTGAAGTCTGTGTTTTGATGTTTATATTGTTTTTATTTTGATCGGACATCTGTGCACTGACTCACTGATGACTCTGCAGATTTTTGTTCTAAATCATTGAATACGATGTAAAGAGAGAAGAAACGGAAATAGACCGCTGACTCATTCTGACTCTTGTGGCAGAGATGATCCTGACCCTGATCCACCTGCAGCCTCTGTGACTCCTCTCACACCTGTGGCTTAGGTGTGAGCCTTGTTCTTGATGCGTTCACTGTCTCTGACAGTGTCCATGTGTTATTAAACAACAGTAACTCTGACATGTAGCGAAAGAACAAGCAGCGTTAACTCTACCTCCTGATCCTGACTGAGTCTGACTTGCCTGCAGACAGGACTCAGGGCTCAAACCCTCACCTGGCATTTTTAATGCTGACTCAGCGGGAAACCAGCAGACTTCACCTGAGTGGCCTTATTGCTGCCTTCACTGCAGCTGGGAACGAAAACATATTCTACAGATTGTGTTCATGTTTGTCCCTTTAACCTTAATTCAGATTGTTTATACCTGCGGCAAGAAAACAGAGTGTGTCTCCCAACTGTTTCACCTGACTGCTCACCTGAAGCTGAGAGCTTAAAAGGAAAAGACAAAGGGTTTCAAACCTGATGAGGCTGATAGTCAGAGTGTCTTTGTCCTCAGACACACTTGAAGACAAAAAACAAGGAAAGAATGATGTTAAGTCTTTATTTACCTACTCACCTCCACCCACTCACCTCCACCTATCTGACAGTGAAAATTATATAAAGCAATATTTCATTTAAATATTCAGGGCACAAAATAATAAATGCTGTTTAATGGGAAAATCAGATATGTCCTGTAGTTTCCAGCTGTCAGTTAATGCCTTGGAGTTTTAAATGAACATTTAACTTCAAAATAAAACTTGAAACTACAGTTGGAGTGTACTTATTCAACAATCCATCCATCCATTTATCCATACATACCTATTTAATGGTTTACATTTTAAACAAACCAAAACAAAGTTTCAAGCCCTTCATTTATTTTTAAATATCCCACTAATGACTGTAAATGTTAAATGTCAAACACCTATTTAAGTTTCTGAAATTTACCGGAAAAATGCGCTTGCAAAATAAGAGCAGTATTTATGATCAACAACAAAAAATTTAATTTGAAAACTGAAGTTGATACAACTAGAAAGTATCACAGTATTACTTGGATGCTGTTAAACTATCAGTTTTTGACAGCTCTGACCGTCTGATCACAGTGTCCTGCTTTCACTTTGGGTTTCAAATGATGATCAGTACGTGAATCCAGTGAAAATAAATAAATATTTCGAGAAGCCAGAGTAGTGGAGGTAGAAGTGAAGATACAAGTTGTAGTGGTAATAATAGTAATTGTAGCAGTAAATCTGGGATTTTGTTTGAAGAATTAAATAATGCATAAATAATAAGAATGATTTTAAAATGGAAAAAAAAAATGAATGAGGATTAAAAATCCTCAAGTATTAGACAAGGTTGAAGGATTAAAAAGTTTTGAATCAGTTTGAATGAGTTTAAATTTGTCTGAAGAATTGATAATGTATTAATAACGGGAAGTAAAAGTACGAGACGCAGTAAAAAAAAATATTTCGAGAAGCCAGAGTAGTGGAGGTAGAAGTGAAGATACAAGTTGTAGTGGTAATAATAGTAATTGTAGCAGTAAATGTGGGATTTTGTTTGAAGAATTAAATAATGCATAAATAATACGAATGATTTTCAAATGGAAAAAAAAAATGAATGAGGATTAACAATCCTCAAGTATTAGACAAGGTTGAAGGATTAAAAGGGTTTGAATCAGTTTGAATGAGTTTAAATTTGTCTGAAGAATTTGATAATGTATTAATAACGGGATTACATTCAAAGTGGGGAAAATTTAAATGAATAAAAATCCTGAATACATTTTTGGAGCCCTGAATGGTTTCTGTAGGTAAAAGTTTGTGGTAGGAGATATGGGCCAAAATTTGTAAAGTGCTCTGGTGAAGGGTTTTAAATGTAACCCCCAGTGCTCTGTGTACTGAGTCTGGCTTCATGTGTCTCATATGGCCGTCAGAAGCTAGCCTGGCTGGGCCATCCAGTTGCGTGAATCACTTGCCGTTCCTTCCTACAACAGTCTGGACTTCGGCCATTTGGGAGCCCTAAAAGTGGGCGGGAGTACTTTCCTTGACAGACAGACTACTGTAACCAATCACCGTAACCAAACATCTGACGTCATCATGGTATGCAACTGTGTTCCCTGCTGGGCTCTCAAGCGTCAAGTAAAGGTTTGGTAATATTTCAACGTGTACAAGCAAACAATGTCTTTTATGTCTTTTTCTGCGGATATAAATGATTTCTGCCGACTTTGCAAAGTCAACTGCAGAATTAAAGGTGTTCTGAATGAACAGCGCTTTGAAAAGTCCCGCAGCATGTGTTAGACGTCACCTTTTACACATGGAACAATCAGGGGCTGCCTTTCCCTGTTGTCCGGGGAACAGTGGAAACACAGTCACTGCTTGGCCTGTTTTTTTTTCTAATTTCTAATACACGCTCCCAATTGGCCGAAGTCCAGACTGTTGTGGGAAGGAATGGCAGGTAATTCATGCAACTGGATGGCCCAGCCAGGCTAGTTAGAAGCAGCTTTCCAGTCAGCTGTGTGTCTCCAGGTGAACTAATTGGTTGCCATGGGAACGGTAAATGCATAACTACAGCAGGAGAAAGAAGGCTTGAAGCTGAGAAAAAAAATCCACAACTATGCCCTAAAGCACATTCTCTGTAATGGCTACATTCATGATAGTTGGGGCCCTAAGACACATTTTACTTCAAGTCATGATACAAATGTCCCCTTTGGTATGGAAGTACCTTAGGGTCATAGAAAACATTTTATCCAAAGAGTCAAGTTAGATCACCCTTCAATTTTTTTTAATAGCCATTTTAAAAATGGCTGCCGACAATAAACCGCTAATACACCAGACCCCGTATCTTTGCTTCTGTTAGAGCTATAATCATAATATTGGTGTCAAAGTGCACATTTTTGGGGTCTAGGACTTCAATTATATAGGTTTCAATGTAAAAAACCCAATGGTTCATTAATTCTCATGACAGTGGGGGGTAAAATGTTTCCTATGGCCCTAAGGTACTTCCATGCCAAAGGAAAAGTAAATCTCAGTTTAGGAGGAGGGGTGGGGGGGTAAGTTACCCTGTCAAAACTTATATTTTTTCATGAAATTAGCATATTTTACCTCCCACTGTCATGATAATTAATGAAGCATTGGGTTTTTTACATTGAAACCTAATTAATTGAATTCCTAGACCCCAAAAATGTGCACTTTGACACCAATATTATTATTATAGCTCCAACAGAAGAAAAGATATGGGGTCTGGTGTATAAGCGGTTTATTGTCGGCGGCCATTTTTAAAATGGCTATTAAAAAAAATTGAAGGGGGATCTAACTTGTCTCTTTGGATAAAATGTTTCCTATGGCCCTAAGGTACATCCATGCCAAAGGAAAAGTAAATCTCACTTTAGGAGGAGGGGTGGGGGGGTAAGTTACCCTGTCAAAACTTATATTTTTTCACGAAATTAGCATATTTTACCTCCCACTGTCATGGTAATTAATGAAGCATTGGGTTTTTTTACATTGAAACCTATTTAATTGAATTCCTAGACCCCAAAAATGTGCACCTTGACACCAATATTATGATTATAGCTCCAACAGAAGAAAAGATATGGGGTCTGGTGTATTAGCGGTTTATTGTCGGCGGCCATTTTTAAAATGGCTATTAAAAAAAATTGAAGGGTGATCTAACTTGTCTCTTTGGATAAAATGTTTCCTATGACCCTAAGGTACTTCCATACCAAAGGGGATATTTGTATCATGACTTGAAGTTAACAGCTTATTTTTTGGGCTTAGGGACTCCACTATGATAAGAAACTTGTGAGAACCCCACGACTCTGCTGAACATATTGATACAATTAATTAACAAAATCCTAAATACACCCCATAATGTCCTCAATGAGCTGAATCTTTGAACCCCAGAATGGTTCCTGTAGCTCAAAGTTTGTGGGTGGAGATAGGTGGTGAAGCAGACACATACAGTATTAACTATGTGTACATACAGGTCCCCTGGACAGAGACACACACGCACACACATTGTCAGACTGTGTGTGTGTGTGTCTCGTTAATGATTGTGTCCTAAACAGCTGTGAGATCAAAGGCATTAACTGACAAATGATTAACTGAGAAACTTTCTCAACTCTACACAGTCCAGTTGCCTGTTTTTAAGTCTTCAAGATAACCATGACCTGGATGAATGAGACTCTACATGGACTTAACACACACACACACACACACACACACACACACACACACACACACACACACACACACACACACACACACACACACACACACACACACACACACATACGTGTACTTGCTGCTTTGTGAGGTCTATGAGAAAAGACCCACAAAGCGAGGACTACAAACTTTGACCTACAGAAACCATTCAGGGCTTCAAAAATTCAGCTCATTCAGGACATTATGGGGTGTACTCAGGATTTGTATTCATTTAACTTTTCCCCACTTTAAAATTATTTTCATTCAGACAAATCCAAACTGATTCAAACCTTTCTGATACTTCAGACCTGTTTAACACTTTAGGACTTCTAATTATTTTAAATTTTTCCCACTTCAAAATCATTCTCATTATTTATGTATGTTTTAATTTTCCAAACAAAATCCCAGTTCTACCACTACAATTACTACTTATATCACTTTAACTTGTATCTTCACTTCTACCTCCACTGCTCTTGCTTCTCTTAATATTTTTTTACTTCTACTCTTACTTCTACCACGAGCTGTTGAAGTTATTCCAAACTTCCCTGAGTCCGTTGATGGAGACTGGAACAGAGGATTCATGAGGCAAAAGGGTGTCTTCAACAAACCTTTTATTTCGGCACAGCAAATAACACCAGATATCTTGGAGAGCACAACATCAACCCAATGGTATCTCTGAAGTGTTCTGATTACTATTTTTCAGTAGTTAATCTTTATACACTTGAGGCGTCTCATCATCTTTATGGGCGGAGAGTTTACATAACCAGCAGTCCCAAGTGTTTCTCTAAGGACAAACAAGCACGTATTCTTGTGTTTTTTTTTACCTAACCAAGACTGTGGTTTGGGGGAAGTTGACCTTGGATGCACACAGTGCCTGTCTCCTTTTTATCTTATTTGCGTCATGTATTCCGGGCCTTCACTGAGTTCCCACTGGTCAGACTGCTGGGCATGCAAACCCTCCCTTTACATCTCCACATCTTCTCAGGACACAGTGATCTTCCTCTCTCACCCTGTTGTTCACATTTCTGAGCTACACCTGCACGTCTGTTTATCAAAGGCACATCATTATCTAGAGCATATGTCAGGGTCATAGAGCACTTTTATAAGGAACACTTTTAATGAATGACTGTGATGATTATAAAGCACACTTTTTAATAAATGACTGTTATGATTATAATACACACTTCAAATAATGACTGTTAAGGCAGAACAGTTTAAAACCATACTTACCAACCCTTCGCACTTCTAGGCATAAGCTAAAATATAAATGACTGTTAAGGCAGAATAGTTTAAAACCATACTTACCAACCCTTGGCACTTCTAGGCATAAGCTAAAATCTTTCTTTACTGAGAGTCTCTCTTCTATGCGTTGTGACACAGTGATCAATTGCCCCCGTGTTAGCTTTAAACTTTCTTATCTTACTCATCAGTACATGTCCGCAATGAGCACACAAAATAATGTAAACACAATAAGAAAACAGTTAGTTACCTGAAACAATGACTAAATGATAGGTATGATATATGAGTTCCCACAGAGCTCTACTGATTTGACTTCTACTTCTTCTATTCTAAAACTACTTCTACTGCTTACATGACTACTAATATCACTACTACAACTACCTATTATCATACTACTTCTAGTACTTCAACTTATGCCACTTCTCACTTTTCTGTGTTTTAAGGTTATTTTCTTCCTTATCCATTTTTTTTGCAATTTCAGACAGTTTTTCTAGCCTTATTCAGCATGAATGCAATTTTAATTTTTGAAGCACATTCGTACTCTTTGAACTTCAGCAATTTTCACTTTCATCCAACTTCTACTTCTCTTTCTCCAGCCCTTTAACTAATTTTACATTTAAACCTTCCTCCATTTTTTTTTTAGCAGTTTTGCATTGCTTTTTCAGATTTCAAGCACTCAGCATTTCCTGCAAGGAAATGCAATTTTTCTAGTTTTTATATATGGGGAAATCTTCCAATTCTTCCTTTTATTCTTCCACCTTCTAAGCGTTGTAACTTCAGCATACTTTCACATAGAGACCTAATTTTTGCTTTAAAATGTCCATTAACTTGTCGACTATTAATCTTGTATTCACTTTGTTGTGATATCTTTTACAGTTTTCCCACAATTTAGCTTTAAGCAACTCGTGGTTTTCAGCAAATTTCAGGCTTTATAATGGGTGTGTATTGGAGAGGCTAGAGTGTTTGATTACATCGCTAGAGTGCAGACCTACTCTTGGATCGACAGAACCCCGCTCGAATATATCGCTCCCACGCCCACAAATTTCACTCCACAGCCATAAAAAATACATCAAAATGGAGGTATATGTGTCCTGCTTCTCACAAAAGAGGTTTCAAATCATTAAATCCTACTCCTTGGCCAGCAGGTGACCAACTGTCCAAATAGGCGGAAGTCTCTCCCATTAACCCTAATGTAATTTTTCTCCAAGAAAATCCTTATCATCACTCAGGCTCAGACTTTTTTAACTCGCTGTTGTGGCCACATTTTTTAGAGTACAGACATGAAAAACACATCATTGTGTTCATGAAGGGTGGAGGATTCGTACGACGTTCTTATTTTCATTCTGGGATTTAAGGAAATCGTGCTATGTGACGAAGTTCAGAGGCCCTAAATTCACTGCAGTTAGGCAGCTTCTCATTCAAACAGTAGGTCAGTTAATGCCTTTGATGTCTGACACCTGTTAAGATGCATTAATTAGCACACACACACACACACACACACACACACACACACACACACACACACACACACACACACACACACACACACATTCTTGTACTTGCTGCTTTGTGAGGTCTATGAGAAAAGACCCACAAAGCGAGGACTACCAGTTCTGAAACATAAAAAATATCATTCAGGACACTGGGGGGCAACCTTGACCTGTACACTCACTGAGTTTACATATATAAGCAAGTTTCACAAAAAAGTTTTTAGCTGACAGAGCGAGGTGAAGAAGAGCTTCTCATTCAAACAGAAGTTAGTTAATGCCTTTGATCTCACAGCTGCTTAGGATAAAATCCTAAACGAGACACACACACAGTCTGACAATGTGTGTGTGTGGGTGTGTGTCTCACTGCCTATGGCAACCAATTAGCGCACCTGGAGACACACAGCTGACTGAAAAGCTGCTTCTAATGGCCATATGAGATACAGGAAGCCAGGCTCAGTACACAGAGCACTGAGGGTTACATTTAAAACCCTTCACCGGAGCACTTGACAAACTTAGGCCCCTATCTCCTACCACAAACTTTGACCTACAGAAACCATCAGGGCTCCAAAAATTCAGCTCATTGAAGACATTATGGGGTGTATTTAGGATTTTGTGAATTGATTGTATCAATATGTTCAGCAGAGTCGTGGGGTTCTCACAAGTTTCTTGTCATGAATGTAGCCATTACAGAGAATGAGCTTTAGGGCATAGTTTTGGATTTTTTTTCTCAGCTTCAAGCCTTCTTTCTCCTGCTGTAGTTATGCATCTACCATTCCCATGGCAACCAATTAGTGCACCTGGAGACACACAGCTGACTGGAAAGCTGCTTCTAACTAGCCTGGCTGGGCCATCCAGTTGCGTGAATCACTTGCTGTTCCTTCCCACAACAGTCTGGACTTCGGCCAATTGGGAGCGTGTATTACAAATCAGAAAAAAAAAATGGGCCAAGCAGTGACTGTGTTTCCACTGTTCCCTGGACAACAGGGAAAGGCAGCCCCTGATTGGTCCATGTGTAGATGGAGACGTCTAACACATGCTGCGGGACTTTTCAAAGCGCCGTTTATTCAGAACGCTGTTAATTCTGCACTTGACTTTGCAAAGTCGGCAGAAATCATTTATATCAGCAGAAAAAGACATAAAAGACATTGTTTGCTCGTACACGTTGAAATATTACCAAACCTTTACTTGATGCTTGAGAGCCCAGCAGGGAACACAGTTGCGCACTGTCATGATGTCAGATGTTTGGTTACAGTAGTCTGTCTGTCAAGGAAAGTACTCCCGCCCACTTTTAGGGCTCCCAATTGGCCGAAGTCCAGGGGCCTCATGTATCAACGCTTGCGGCGCAAGAAAACCTTGCGTACGCCAAAATCGGCGCACACGTCCAGATTTATCATCACGAAACGAGCGTCGGTTCCAGCGCTAATCAACGCAAAGTCAGGAGGTGGTGTAGAAATTGGCGTTGAGCTGATATTTGCGTTGACTGTGATTCGCACTTTGGCGACGCTGTGTGGCGGTGTTTGGTGACTCACTATGTGACAAGCGTGCACCACATCCCCGTGGCCGAGCAGCACGTCGCCCCACATGACTACCAGCAGCAGACGGAGGGATGCGAGCTGATCACCGCCGGCCGCCGTCCTCGCGCGGGAGAATCTCATCGCCACAGTGTGAATGGGTAAGAAGTGAATACACAGTTGTTCAATGAGCCAAATTAATTTATTTTCTCCACCAGACGCTCGAGGAAATTTACGAGCCGGTCCAGCCGCTCGTTGATATCCGCGATCCCCCTGATGATTTCTTCCTGCGAATGCAGGACCCCCTCCGCGAGGACCCTTCCACTGCGTCCAGCGGAAGCGCCGCGGCTGGTGGACGCTCCACCACTTGTCGGCGCGCTGGTGCTGATGCTGGTGCTGGGGCCGGGGTGGCCCGAATGCCGCTGGTCCTGGCCGACGACTCTGAGCCGGCGGACGGGCTGCCGCGGGCCGGGGTTCCGCAAGCCGGCGACACGGCCGACACGTTGATTTCTGTGTCACAATAAAAAATATTTGTTCATTTCAATTCCTGCTTCTGTGTATCTGTTACGTTTACATCTCTCTCCACGGTATCATAGGTAATGTAATCCAGTATTTAGAGGTCAGTTATGCACATTACAGTTGTTTATTGCATAAAAAGTTATCGAAAAGTGAAGTTAAGGGCGAAGTATAAATCACGTCTAAAAATAGACTGAATCCCGACGTTGAAATGAAGTATAAACTTAGACTAGACGTCTAATATACGTCTTTTGCTCAGTGGGATGACAAAGCATGTGGACATTTGTGTGACACGCCACTTACCCTATAATAATAATCGCCACCACTCGCTGCTCAAACGGTGTGAGGGTCTCCTCCCCCGGACCCCCACCTGTCTGGCCGGTACTCCTCCGGAGGGCAGCTGTACGCCGCTTGACCTCCACCTTGAGGTCCGACCACTTTTTTTAATCCCCGCGGAGGTGCGTGTCTCGGAACCCACCGCGTTCACCCTCTCGCAAACTTTCTCCCACTCCAAGCGTTTCCGTTTTGCACTGATGCCACTGGACAGGCTGCCAAACAAAACACGCTGTCGCTCCTCCACCTCCGCCACCAGCACCTCCACCTCGCACGCCGTAAATTTAGTTTTTCTTGTCATTTTGTCTGCGTGCGAGGACAGGGAGACCCGATTTAAATAAATCTGCATATTTATGTCAGGGCGTAACGGGGACGGGCCCAGTCACTCCGACATCTGCGCTCAATTCCACGCTGATTGGGATTTATCAAGGAAACACACGTGGATTTCGGCGCCCGCACACATTGATACATACGGATTTTTTTCAGCGTGACGGACCTTGCGTGCGCTCGTTTCTGGTATGAGTTCCACGCAAGTATTGATACATGAGGCCCCAGGATTTTGTGGGAAGGAACGGCAAGTGATTCACGCAACTGGATGGCCCAGCCAGGCTAGCTTCTGATGGCCATATGAGACACATGAAGCCAGGCTCAGTACACAGAGCACTGGGGGTTACATTTAAAACCCTTCACCAGAGCACTTTACAAATTTTGGCCCATATCTCCTACCACAAACTTTTACCTACAGAAACCATTAAGGGCTCCAAAAATTCAGCTCATTCAGGACATTATGGGGTGTACTCAAGATTTTTATCCATTTAACTTTTCCCCACTTTAAAATTATTTTCATTATTCATGCATTATTCAATTCTTCAGACAAATCGAAACTCATTCAAACTCATTCAAACCTTTCTGATACTTCAAACCTGTTTAACACTTTAGGACTTGTAATTATATAAAAAATTTTCCCATTTCAAAATCATTCTCATTATTTATACATAAATACATACAAGTATGTTTTAATTCTTCAAACAAAATCCCAGTTCTACCACTACAATTACTACTTATGTCACTTTAACTATCTTCACTTCTACCTCCACTACTCTTGCTTCTCTTAATATTTTTTTTACTTCTACTCTTACTTCTACCACAAGCTCTACTGCTTTGACTTCTACTTCTTATATTCTAAAACTACTTCTACTGCTTACATGACTACTAATATCACTACTACAACTACCTATTATCATACTACTTGTAGTACTTCAACTTCAACTTATGCCACTTATCACTTTTCTGAGTTTTAAGGTAATTTTCTTCCTTATCCATTTTTTTTGCAATTTCAGACAGTTTTTCTAGTCTTATTCAGCATGAATGCAATTTTAATTTATGAAGCACATTCATACTGTTTGTACTTCAGCAATTTTCACTTTCATCCAACTTCTACTTCTCTTTCTCCAGCCCTTTAACCAATTTTACATTTAAACCTTCCTCCATTTTTTTTTAGCAGTTTTGCATTGCTTTTTCAGATTTCAAGCACTCAGCATTTCCTGCAAGGAAATGCAATTTTTCTAGTTTTTATGTATGGCAACCATATGTTTTATATATGTTCTACATTTGTCTGCGTTTGTGTTTTAATCTTTATTTTCATATTTTGGAGGGATTGATAAATGTCAGATGTTTTGACACTGTGGTGCTTGAATAAATGTTTTATACCATATTTTGAATTAATTCAGACCTTTTGTGCATTCATTTTTGTCTTGTTACATTTTTTCCATTATTCCAATTTTGGGGGGTGTGGTAGCAATTTGATTGACTTTCAGCCATTTATGGCCATGATGTGCTGTTTTTATTTTATTGATTTTATTACATAGTTGGTTGTGTCATTTCTATGTATGAAACATAAGCTTTTAGCTAAATTTACTGTATATATTTCATTGTGCTGGGTGCAAATCACTTGAGTTGAGACATTTTCTTCAGGAAATTTGCTACATTTTATAATCTGAATTCACTTATGCATATACTAAGGCACCAATAACTGTTTCAGATGTTAGGTAGATGTATTTATGACATTTGAGAAAGATTTTTTCTTGCCAGAATCAACATAGCAGTTTCTACGAGCAAAAACAGCAGCACCACATAATTGTTTTTTGGGTTACTCACATATATATTTAGATAGATAGATAGATGTACTTTATTGATCCCAAACTGGGAAATTCTCTTGTTACAGCAGCAAAGGGAAAATACAAATAACATTAAATATAAGAAGAGGTAAGTACAATGCAGACTAAAATTACTAAAAGTACTAAGTATATGCAATAAATACAGACTAAATATACTAGACATCCTAAGAGGTAAAAGTGAGATATTAAGAACCTGGGCTATTGGATGGGTAATAAATAGGAAAGCGAAATATTACAGATGGGATAATAAATAAACAAACAGTCTAAGGTGCTCCGTAATGTGATGTGGTAGGAGTTTTTAAAATGGACTGTACAGCAGACAGATGTGAGTCCCTGTCTGACAGATGAGAGTTATTAAATAGTGCAATAGCTTGTGGCTGGAAAGATTTCCTGTATCTGTCCCTTCGACAGCGGAGCTGCAACAGTCTGTTGGAGAAGGAGCTCCGCTGTCTGTCCAGAGTGAGGTGGAGAGGGTGGTCAGGGTTGTCCATGATGGATAACAGTTTGTTCAGTGTCCTCCTCTCCACCACAGCCTCAACAGTGTCCTGTTTGCAGCCAATCACAGAGCCAGCCTTCCTGATCAGTTTGTTGAGTCTGTTGGTGTCACTGGCTCCGATGCTGCTCCCCCAACAAACCACGGCAAAGAAAAGTACGCTGGCCACCGCAGACTGGTAGAACATCTCCAACATCTTGCTGCACACGTTGAAGGATCTCAGCTTCCTCAGAAAGTAGAGTCTGCTCATCCCCTTCTTGTAGACAGCGTCGGTGTTGGATTTCCAGTCCAGTCTGTTGTTTATATGGACGCCCAGGTACTTGTAGACCTCCACCTCCTCCACATCTTCTCCCAGGATGCACAGCGGCTGTGGAGCCGTCCTCTTCTTCCTGAAGTCGATGACCATCTCTCTGGTCTTGGTGACATTCAGCCTCAGGTGATTGCGCCCAGCCCACTCCACAAAGTTATCTACCACTGCTCTGTACTCCCCATCCCTTCCTCCGCTTATACACCCAACAACAGCCGAGTCATCAGAAAATTTCTGCAGGTGGCATGACTCGGAGTTGTACTGAAAGTCAGTGGTGTACAAGGTGAAAAGGAAAGGGGACAGCACAGTCCCCTGTGGAGCTCCTGCATCACTGACCACCACGTCAGACAGAACACTGCCGAGACGGACAAACTGTGGCCTGTCCGTCAGGTAGTCAGTGATCCAGGAGACCATGGAGGTGTCCACACCCATCACCCGCAGCTTCTCACCCAGCAGCAGTGGCTGGATGGTGTTGAAAGCACTAGAGAAATCAAAGAAGGTGATTCTCACAGTGCTGCCACCACCATCCAGATGCAAATGAGCTCGTTGCAGCAGGGAGATGACAGCATCGTCAACTCTCAAATGGGGCCGGTAGGCAAACTGTAGAGGGTCTAAGAGCTCCTTCACCTGCGGCCTCAGGTGGGCCAAGACCAACCTCTCCAGCACCTTCATCAGATGGGACGTGAGGGCAACTGGTCGGTAGTCATTGAGGTCAGATGGAGTCGACTTCTTTGGGACAGGAACGAGACAGGACGTCTTCCACAGCACTGGGACTCTCTCTTGACTCAGGCTCAGGTTGTAGAGGTGTTGGATGACAGAAGACAGCTGGCTGGCGCAGGTCCTCAGGATCCTGGGGCTGATGCCATCAGGTCCTGCTGCCTTCCTCTGGTGGAGCCTCTCCAGCTGTCTCCTAACCTGGCTCGTAGTCACGGTCGTGTGTGGGGGGGTGCTGATGTCTCCAGGGGAGAGGGAGAAGAGGTGCTGCACAGGAATGTTCACCACAGGGGGGAGAGGGGGGAGGGGTTGATGTGGTGAGGGAGTGTGGGGGGCTGGATGTATGAGGGAGGCAGAGAGCTGTGAGCTGAACCTATTAAAGAAAGTGTTCAGCTCGTTGGCTCTCTCCAGGCTGCCTGATGGTTGCCTTTGTCTCCCTTTACATCCTGTGATGTGCTTCATCCCAATCCACACATCCCTCACATTGTTTTGCTGGAGTTTGGCCTCCAGCTTCCTCCTGTAGGCGTCTTTACCCCCTTTCAGTTTCTCCCTGAGTTCATGCTGCACTCTCCTCAGCTCCTCTCTGTCACCAGACTTGAAAGCCCTCTTCTTCTTATTAAGGAGGGCTTTCAAGTCACTGGTGATCCATGGCTTGTTGTTGGGGAAGCAGCGTACAGTCCGGTTTGGGATGGTGGAGTTTTCACAGAACCTGATATATTCTGTGATGCAGTCTGTCATGCTGTTGATGTCCTCCCCGTGTGGCTCACAGAGTACATCCCAGTCCATTGACTCAAAGCAGTCCTGCAGTGCCTCAGCAGTCTCCTCAGTCCACCTCCTCACCGTCATGGTGTGAACAGGCTGCCTCTTAACAATGGGGACATACTTAGGTGTTAACAGGACCAGGTTGTGATCTGATCTGCCAAGGGGGGAAGGGCTGTGGTGCTGTATGCATCACTGGTGTTTGCATGCAGCAGATCCAGGGTTCTATTTTCTCTGGTGTGGCAGTCAACATACTGGTGAAATGTTGGTAAAACTTTGTCCAGTGAGACATGATTAAAGTCTCCAGTAATAACAGTGAAAGCATTGGGCTGTTGAGTCTGTACCCTGGCAACGGTGTTGGTGATGACGTCACAGGCCATCGGTGCATCAGCTGATGGGGGGATGTAAACAGCGATCACAATAGCGGACGTGAATTCCCGGGCAGGTAATACGGACGCATTCCAACAGCAAACAGTTCAATGTCCGATTCACAGAGACGTTCCTTCACATGCACATGTCCGGGATTACACCACCTCTCACTCACATACAGTGCAATCCCTCCTCCCTTCTTCTTACTGCTGCTAATAACGTCTCTGTCCGCCCGAACAACGCTGAAGCCGGGTGCCGCCACGCTATGGTCCGGGATATGCGAGTGCAGCCAAGTCTCAGTGAAACAAAAAACGCTACACTCACGGTATTCCCTCTGAGTCTAAATCAGCGCGGCAAGCTCGTCCGTTTTATTCCCCAAAGACCTCACATTCCCCGTGATAATCGCTGGTACATTCCTGGCTGGTGACAAAAGTCGGACAGATAGTCTGAGTAGATATTTTAACCCAAAGTCCCGAATGGTATTGTCTACGCAAAAATGCATTAAACAAGTAGCACCAGCGTAGTTGAACGAAATTCACTTTCAAGGCACTTTTTCCTTTGTCCCAATACAGCCTATGACCTCAGGCGAAGTTTCTTTCGCGGAGTTTCAGATGCCGTGGACGTGGATGCATCGGCGATGCTGGCTGAAGGGTTTGACTGACCTGCGGCTGCATCATGTTCTTGTTTCTCAAACGCCTTTTGCAAATAAATCGCTGGTAGCATGTCATGTGAAACCCAGCGTCATCAGGAACTTTGTCAAAGTCGATATCAACGCAATGTTTATAAGTTTCTGTAAGGTCCTTTTTCTCACCCTGTAGAGAGAGCCACTTTCTAATACTAGTTCTGTAAGTTTCCCAACGTGTCCTTGTAAAGTCGAGAACATCTTCACTCTGGACAGATGATAGATGCATATAGCATCATTTTGTTCCATTTTTATACACTTTTGAAGGCTGTTTTCTTTTATTCCTTTTCTTGTCTTCCTCTTCGCTTGTCTCGCTGCTACATGCACTCGTCGCCATGTTTGTGTATTTCTGATACTATGGCAACGAAACTCGCCTCCTATTGGTCCACATGACAAAAATCGCTTCACCCCTTTGCATATTTGATTGCGCATGTGCAAGTATCACTACGCCGCAGAAAGGAAATAGTTCGACACCGAAACACTGTTTACTAAAAATCAACAGGACGGCATGTGTAGATATTTTTTTTTAGTACTCACTATCAATAAAGCTATTTTATGAATCACAGTTTATGTTGCCCCACTAAAGCGGAAAGAACCAACACGATCTCACTCAGCCAATATAGCCTAATTTTAAGACAACTTTCTTCATCCAGTGGTCTGACTGGAGGTATCTGCAGGGAGTGTTTAACAAAGTTGATGAACTGCTGATCCAGACACCCCCTCCATCACTGAACCCGGCATCGAATTCAAAATCCTCCTTCACACCCATCACTGTCTGCACGGTGCAGCCCCCACCTACCTCACGAACTCCTCACCCCCCATACCTCAGCCAGAACCCGGTCAGGCCAACTGCACCGTCTGCGCCCGCCCAGGACTCGGCTCAAGACCATGGGCGACAAGGCCTTCGAGGCTGCTGCTCCCCGTCTGTGGAACGCCCTCCCCGACCACCTAAGGGCTCCACAGTCAGTGGATGCTTTTAAAAAAGGACTCAAAACCCTCCTTTTTCTGAAAGCTTATCCGGTCTGATTTTATCTGATTTTATCTGCTGACTGTTTTTATTATTTTGTTCTGTTGCTTGATTGTACTGTTATTGTTGCTTTTTTGTACTGTTATTGTTGCTTTTTTTGTTATTGTTGCCTGTACCGTGCACCTTGAGATTTGTTTTCAAATGTAAAGTGCGTTACAAAT